TGAACAGACAAAAATCACTGCACTCATGGAATTTGCAGTTTAAAAATACATAATTAAAGTTTATAGTACATATAAAGGTGATAAAATCTTTGGAAAGAAATAAATGATAGGAAATGCAAAGGACAGGGGTAGGGCTCTGAGGTACTCAGGACTCACAGGAGCTGACCCCTCACACTCTGTGCCCCCACTCCTCTGGACCCAAAGACATAATAATTGCACGACTCTCAGTTCCGTTTCATCATTTCTTATCTCCAAACCCCCCCTCCTGTGGAGGATGCCTCCTGGGATCCAACAGTGAACAGTCTCATCTTTTTTTTTTTAAATAATTTTTTTTAAGATTTATTTATTTATGCATACAAAACTGGGGTACAGGCCAGAGGTGCAGGGGTGGTGAGAGGCTTCACCGAGACAGAGTGGGGAGCAGAACAGGCAGATCAGTGAAGTACACTTCAGAGGGGAACAGTGGGAGGGCCAGGAGAGGTCTGCTGTGTCATGTGGGTCACCCCTGGGGTGGGGATCGAACTCATGCTGAAGTGGCTCCAGCCTCTTAGTGCTGTGCTTTTACCCACTGTGCCACCAGGGAGGGCCCTGAGCAGTCTCATCTTTGATGTGAACTATCTCATTTCCCTGCTCTCCTCCAAGTTACTGGTTTCCAGTCTCAAAGACACCTCCCTTCCCAAGGTGGTGAACGAAGCAAATGGCTTCAGCTACCTCCTATAGCAACAGTGTGGCTCTGCCCTTCCAAGTTGGGGTAGAAACAACCAAGGCTTATTGATTGAACATTTATTGCTGTACTTTTTTCAGTGCGCTTAAAATGTGTCGGTTTCAGGGTGCCACATTTGAGACAGTAAGCATCCTAGTTCTCTCTTGCACAAACACCAATAGCCACATATTCTGGTTGGTGCTGCAGCAAAAGGCAAACAGCTCAGATCCTTGAATCATTGCTTGAACTAGAACTGTCTTATAGAGTTACTGGATGCACAGTAGACATTGGGTGAATAAAAGATACACTTATCCATTCGTGTTAAGTCACTAGTACTTAGGAGTTTACAACATAGTCGTGCCTAACTGACCAGATCTAATCGTGAAGTGAGGTCACAGCCATGGTTCACACATTCCAAAGTGTTCTTATCATCATTGATAGCACTATGTTACCACTTGGTAACATGAAGGAAGAACTCACACTGAGGAACGTTATCAAGTAGTGTTGAAGATTATAAATGTTGAAAATTATAGGGGTCATGAGAATAAGAGTTTATGTAGATTCAATAATGTACTTGCTGATTAGTTGAAATCCACATGTAATTGATGTCAGTATCTATGTCCTTGGGAAATAGGGAAAAGACCCAAATCGGGTCTCTCCAACCATCCAAACTTTCCAATTAATAGAGGAAATTAAAGGGGTGATTTGTTATTCAGATAACAGAAAAGGTACTTTTTACAACTAATAGGAATATAGGTGACTTAAGTCTATAAATAATTTAAGAAGTAGCCAAAAAAAAAAAAGCATACTGAAAACTACAAAGGAAAGGCTTTTCAGATGGAGGACTTGAATCACAACACAATGGCAAATGACATAAGGATAATGCTTGAGTTGATTATAAACATCTAACATATGCAAAGTCAATAAGCAATTTTAATAATGTTGAAAAATTTCAGAAGTTGGACAGTGAGAGTATCGATAGACTTAGCAAGCAATGGAACAGCTTCCTGGAAAGGTTGTAGCACCAAACTTTAGCAAGGTGATAATGAGAACTTGAAGAAGGTGCAGAATTAGGTCATGTCAAAAATGACAGGGCTTGGAGTGACATCCAAGTCACTAAAAGGAGCATCACAACAGATCAGAACTTACTGTCCATCCCAGCAATTGGTCTCTTTCAAGCAGCACAAGGCTGAGACTTGGCTGTACCAACTCAGGACAGCATGTCCATTCTCAGCCCAACATTCTCCCAGAACAACTGATATTCCAATTCCATTCATAGCTGAATGGAGGGCAGTGAAAGAACTAGGTAATCAGCTCTGAATATTATACATTTATGAAACTACATCATAAGAGGCACTACTTCATTCAGACTGCAGCAAGACTATCTTTCTATATAGAGAAACCCTCTCTCAGGATTCACTACTTGGAAAAAAACAAAACAAAACAAAACTCCATTATTTGACAGTTTCTCATTTCTTTGTAACAAGGCCCCTAAGGAACAAGATTAGAACTCATCAAAGAAAGATTAAATAGGATTCAGCCTAGTTTTAGCAATCAAGATTTTAACATCTTTGTAAAGTAAATTGTGTGTGAAGAATGAGGCTGCTTTTGAACAGGAGGATTTGGCTCTTCATAAATTGTTCTTCCCCTTTCTGCCCTGACCACATTGTGATGAATAACAGAGCATTTGCTAAGCCTTTGTAGCACTTTGAAACTTCTATCCACACTATTTCTTTCCTCTCAGAGAAACCCACATTTGGGTCCTTCACAACTAGACAGAATAGCTTTCTGAGTAGGATTTCTATTTTGCTAATTTTGCTTTCTATTTTATCAGCAGCAATTAGGTTCAGACTTCTGAAAAGTGCTTTGTGAAACCTTTAAGAATGTTTTCTCTATCTTTGAGGGTCCAGAAACCACCGTTGGAAGCAAGACACACATGCACCTTGGCTTAGAAGGATTGCAGACTGTCAGTGCTTCTCAAATCTGCATTAATGGGGATACACATCATTTGAAAATCTTATAAAAATGACTCAGCAGGTCTGGAATATGGCCCAAGATGCTGCATTTTCCAGGTGATGCTGGTGGTGATGGTGGTTGTTGTCTCACACTTTGCTAGCACCATCCTAGATGAGCATCTTCCAGGTTAATGCAACAATGCATGTGAAGATGACACTGGGTACTTCATCCTTCAATTGCTTTAAACTTTGAACCTTGGATTCCTTATTTAAGAAGCAGAATAATTCCAAAACATAGCTCATAGAGCTGCTGTGAAAATAATTAATGCTGTCAGAATAAAGAAGTATATTATCATCACCATAGATGTTGCCTGTGGAGTTGACTATTGCTTCCCTAAAATGATAGAATCAGTTTATAGAAACTTTATCACCAAGAAGTTCTACACATGTGATAATATGTCACTCTTATCTGTATCATCTTGCAATGTTTTTGGGGAAGATAAAAAAAAAAAATCAGTTATCACTCCAGTTTGACATACTTCTTGGTGTTCAATTCTACTCAATTCGAGGCACCCTTTATTCAGGTTTCTTAACCCCTAAGTTGAAAAGTTGCTTGAGACCCCTTAGTGGATATAGTTTAGTGAAATAGAATTATTTTTTGGCAGAAAAGTTTTTTAATGAAACACAACAGTTGTAATTACCATGGAGACTAGAAACAGCATGGATTATCAGAAAATCTATTTGATTTGCAAAAAGATACAGTGCAATTGAGCTCAAGTAGCAATTAATAACTTAGCAGGGAACACAGGCGATATAACAATAATTTATTTTTATGTTTTAAGTTAAATGCTTCAATTTTTGGAACATGTTTAATTCCTGAATTTGGGAAATAATGTGCAATGTTATAGCTCATTGAGCCCAGTAAGAAAGCCAACCTAACTAGCTTTAGGTTGGTAGCCAGCAGGAAGAAGGGATAAAAAGTATCTATATGTAAGGTCTTCAAAAACAAACAAAAAAAGCATTAATATTAATCTATGACCCTGAGAATTTTTCAGAAAATATGTTTGTGTTTCTTCTAATAGCCTTGCAAACCATTATGTTTTCTGGAAACATCATAAATAGAGAAAGAATTTAACTTTGTCTCTGTCTAAGTTGTGAGATCTGAAAGTCCATTTAATAGGGTCACATCTTAGAAGATGCAAAGGCAGAGACCCAGAGAAAAGTAGGGATATTGATTCACTGCAAAGTCTATCAGAGCATTCTACTCCTCATGGAGTTCCTATGCTTTCAGAATTCAGTTTTCCTACAGTTAGAGGAAAGTAAAGAATTGCTGACTGTGGGTAATGGGGGTTAGTTTAGGCCACTTGGTTGTAACCAAGTTTTGTTGCAACAAGCTCGCATGATTTGGTTCAGCACTTCTTTTTGTTATTGCTGCTGTGATTGTTATTACTGTTATTGTTATTCTGGTTCCAGATAGCACAGCCATATTCCTAAGAATTATCAAATGGCCAATTATAATGACATATTCTACCCTGCCTTGTACTGAATTTTGCAGAGATGTGTGCAAAAACATTGTCAGATTTTTCATTTTTTATTTTCTGCAGTAACTCACAAAAATTTCATTAAGTGGATTTCATTTAAAAAAGCTTTATCAAATAGAATATAGAACATTTGACCCAAGATTTGGAATTGAAATTTTTCATTTATGAAGTCAAATGCTATAATCCTTATCTTGACAGTATCTAATCTGGGTTGCTATACTACTTTCATGAAATGTCTTAATCTTCTCTTTGTATTATTAACTTTTAAGGTTTTTTTTTCATTTATTTATGCATATAAGAACTGGGGTACAGGCCAGAGGTGCAGGGGAGGTGAGAGGATTCACCAGAGACAGAGTGGGGAGCAGAATAGGCAGAACATACAAAGAACACTGCTGAGGGGAACAGCAGGCGGGTCATGAGAAGTGTGCTGGGTGCCATATGAATCACCTCCGTGGCCAGGATCGAACTTTGCTGAAGTGGCTTTAGCTTCTTAGTGCTGTGCTTTAACCCACTGTGCCACCAGGGAGGGCCCTCTGTATTATTATTTTTTAAAGATTTATTTTATTTATTTATGCATATAAGAAAGGGGGTATAGGCCAGAGATGGAGGAGGCATAAGAAGATTCACCAGTGAAGGAGGCGGGGGGGGCGGGGTCAGAACAGGCAGCTCTACTGAAATACACTGCAGAGGGGAGCAGTGGGCAGGACAGGAGAGGTCTGCTGCACCAATGTGGATCTGCTCCCTGGCCAGAGAGGGAACACATAAACTTATGCTGTAGTGGCTTGGTGATAGCTTGATAACACTGAGACTTAACCCCTGTGCCACCAGGGAGGCCCTCTCTATTTTTTAAAGAGAACTTCAAAACCTTGAGAAATTTCAGTCCTGGAGTAATACCAATTTCTTTGACAATAACAAAGTTAATGTAATAAAAAACCATCAGGTTTGGAATATTTTATGAAAATGTTTAATTCAACTGTTTCTTTGGAATGTAGTAGTCATAGTTTGGAATTTAAGTTACAATTCAGTTCTATGTGGTTTTTATGCTACTCAGTGTCTGAGAATACAAATGTCATTTAAAGTTAAGGCTTCGCTGTTCATTTTGAAACAACAATTTACAAGTGTCATATTGTCATAGAAAATAAAAATTTCTGTAAAAAAATTTGCACAAAATTTTATGATGGTACAAAACATGAAGCAATAATATACCAGTAAAATGAAAACATTTTACTACAGAAAGTTTTATAGATTTCAATAAAGAAAAAAATATGTTATTTTTCACCTTTAAAATTATGAAACAATCTAAAACAATATAAACTGAACATTTTGTAACACTGCCTTTACAAATTAATAACTTTATAAACATATATTTTTTAAATATATTTATCAGTGCAAGATACTTTAAAATTTAAAGTTTCAGTATCATTTTTCCTTGGCTGAGGACAACTGCAAGTCTGTTGCCTTAAAAAAAGTCTTACTTAGTGCTTTTGTCCTGGTGTGATTGTAACATCTGATGAATGCCTCTGAGGACAAAAATCTACTCTTCTTTCATTGGTGATCAATACATTCCTGGAAACAAAAGGAATTCTCAATCCAATTAAACCAAGATGAATGGACTGTCCAGTCCGTGATGCAAATGTGACTCCCACAAATGGATCTGACTGAGACCTCTCACAGAGCAGGAAGGGTGGAAGATCTAAAAATTCTTATGTCCAACATGACATGGCACAAATACGCAGAAAAACAACCATCGTTTCTTTGGGTTAATTCACAAGCTGCCTGCTCATAGAGTTACTTCCCTGTGTTTTTAGAGGCTTAGGTCTTGCCAGCCCCACGGCAGTTTTGTTTTCTTTGTGAATCATTAGAAGTTTCTAGAAACACTCATCCAAATATCTGTTATTTTCCAGGGCTGCTGCTGAATAGATTTTTTGAATATTTGTTTTGACTTTTACTAGCCCCATCCAACCCCCTTATCTTAAAACACTTCACCTCCTGGCACCAGGATTTATGCTATTTCTTAGATAAACTTCTTTCTGCTACTTCTTTTGTGTGACTCAACCCCCAAACGTGAAGGTTCTCATTTTGCATATTGGTAAGCAAAAATTTCATGGTTTGGGGTATTTGGAGAATTTTTTAGATTATTTTGGGTCTCACTTGAAAGCCAATTAGTAGCATTTCTTCCCTCAACTTATCACTGTGTCTGTTAAATGCAAACATTTCTATCAAAGATGATTTTGACTGTAATAGACATACAAATGATTGAAGGAAAAAGGATACTGTCACTTTAACCAGTTAACAAGAAAACCAAAGTTAGACTTTGGAGGGCAAAGTTAGGAATTTCCCTTATTTATTTATTTTTAAACATAAAGTCTAGTAAAATTGTTTGCCATGACCAGCAGGTTAAAGCTGCGAGTTTCTTTTCTGGACAATGGCAAATGCTTAAATCCTAAGAGAGGAAAAAGACAGCCTAGGAGAGAAAGAGTTTACATTTGAAAATACATTCCATATGAAAGAACAATAAGAGAGAATATTGCAGCTTTATACAAAAGGGTCAAGAGACATGAAATTGAACTACAGAAAAAGCAGAACAATTAAGCCACATTGCAAATCTTCAGAGCCCTTGCCTTCCCTGGGGCTGACGTCTCACACTAAAATATACTTTCCTCTTAGTCAGTGGGCCACCAGGGTTTGATTAAAGAGTAGGGCGTTCACCAGCAAGAAACAGAGCGGGTTGTTAATGTAACACAATGAGAACCAGTACAAACAAAAAGGCACTTGAGAGGACATAGAGTAGCCAGTGCCAAGGAGTTTTCTTGCGGTCGGCGGCAGCACACCCAGTTGCCAGCAGTGTTCGGTGATGGCACAGTTTTCTGTATGGAGTTCACAAGCACGAGGTTTAGTACAACACTGGAAAACATCAAGAAAATTTGACGGTATTGCTTTGTAAACAGAGCTGACACACTAAACTGGTACTGAGTATACAGTACTTTAAAATAAAACATCCTAATCCCTCTTTGCCAATGTAAGACAGGGCAGTTATACACACATACAGCTTCAGGAGTCCACTGAAATGCGCTTATTCTAATATATTCTGGGCACTGGGTTACAGGTAGCATGTCCATCAAAAGGGCCCCACTGAATACACATGGTGCCAGCATCTTGGATTTTGCAGTTTCCAAAAAGTATCCATAAAAGGAGAGGAGAGAGAAAGGGATTGGAAATTTGAAACGAATTATTCAGTCAATCATACTTGGTCTCAACACCAGCATTTGATTATTCAAATTAAACCAACAGATAAAAGCTGACTGTACATGATTCCGATCGTTAACACAGCTAATTTGTTCATGTCTCTGTCGGCCATACTCATCGAAGCTCCTGAGAAAAGCCTGGCTCAGCGTCATCAACGCACTTCCAGCCTGTACAGTGAAAGATCAACAGTTTCCCAGCACGCTCATTCAACTTAGGTCCTTCTGCATCAGCCTTCCGACTGGTCGCTTCACCTGTCTGCCTCACGCCTCCGAATAAGTACTCTGTGTATTCAGTTTGTCCTTTTTCAACTTCACACCATCCACGAGTTCAAAGTTATAGTTCTCCAGGGCAGATAAGTTTCTTTCAGACATACCGTTGTGCCAACAGGCACAGTACAGCACGACCCCACAGACAGCACCCAAGAGGACCCCCAGCGCGCTCATGGCAATGATGGTAATGAGTATGGGATCCAAGGTCTTCAGCACGTTGCCGGGCTTCCTGGAGATGTTCTCGTCACCGTCTCCTGCACCCTCATACCCTGGAGTGCTCCCTAGGAAGAAACCAAAGCTGGGTGTCATAAGCACTGACAACATGCCGGAGATAGAAAAATAAAAAATAATAGAAAGAAAAGAAGTAAATTCCACACTCCGGTTTTGTCTTCCCTCTTCTAGGAGCCTATTTGGAGATTTGCGAATTTCCAATGAGGCTGGATCCTGCCTTTGGTGAAAAATGCCAAGGTTCACACTTGACTCCGTATTAGTTTCAAGGCAGGAAGGCAGATCATGGGGGAGAGTTCATGCTGTGATTTGGACAGAAATCTTCTTAGCTAATGGACACAACTGATTTAGGGTAAATAGTGAGGGTTAATTCTAATTGAATTCAGATTTCATGCAGCCCACCATCTGTACTCAATTGTAATCTGTGTTTTTAGTCTTTGGTCAGAAACGTGGTGATTAAATTTTGCAAAATGCTTAGTCATACATTTGTCTAGTTGGGTGATCCATCCACTGCCCTGTGCATTTGCCTGATCCCAAAACCAGGCTTGAGGAAGCCTTCCAAACTGCCCTTTTATGTGGTGTCTCTGTGTGGGAATGGTCCACACAAGTTTGCTCTTCCACAAAGATATCCCATGTAGCCTCTTCAAGTCAAATGTGTTCCCCCACCCCCCCGCCCCGCTTCACCCATATAAGCAGATTTGACTGAAGAAGGAAAGATCTCTCAGAACTAGGAAATGCTGGCTGCTGACATTTAATATGACTTATGGCTTAAATCTAGAAACTCTGTGTTGTGCTGAACAGAACACATTTAATAATAAGCATCTTTGCAGTCCTCGTATAAAGCCCCTAGAGACAGTCATTCTGTTCTGCAGTTCAGTCACTGGGGAAATATTTTCTTTAGAGTGGAATATGAGAAGTTATTAACATGGGAGCTGTGAGTCTAGAAACAAGACCAAAATGTTAACATACCACATGTATGGTTGCTTACTCAATGGTGTTCTAATCAGCAAAGATTCCAATCAAAAAAAACCTAAATATACAAGATGCAAATCCCTAACCAGGGACAAACAAGCCATGGGACATATTAATATTGTCTGCCTTGATAAAAGATTGTTTTGAAACAATCTCTAACACACTTTACATCTCAATATGGACTAATAACTAAGCTATATGAGCCCAGTGTTAATGTTAACCACATAGTATAGGGTCAAATTTGTTATCTCTATAAAGTTTGTCTGGCAATGGTAGGACCACGTTTCTAAGGGCAACAGATGCTGATATTGAGGGGCAGCACATAGAACAGTTGGCCATAGTTGTGAGTGTACAGTTGCTGGGGCAAGTATACAGTAGCCCACAACTGCTAGTCAAGAGGTACAGAACATTTTGAGAATAAAATAACATCAAGTGAGGTCTAACTCTGATCAAATAGCTTACATTTGATTACAAATCAGTGTTCAGTGGAAACACACATTTTCAGGTGAGTCAGTCTGAAGTTCATGGCTACCATCTGAGCAGCAATTTAAGGCAAGTCTGCTCTGAATTTGTCTCCTCATCTGTAAAATGGGAATAAATATTCCTCAGAGAGGAGCTGTGAATGTTAAGTAAATGAGTGTAAAGTTCTTGGAACATATTAGCACCAAAAAAAAAAAAACATCGTCATCATGATCATCATCAGATGACCATTATCACAAAACTAGGGCTCCCATAAAGGAGGCTGGGAACAGATGATTCAGTCATAACAGTTTGTCACAGAAGTTAGGATTCCATCTGGAGATGAACCAGACACAAGAATTTTGACTGGTTTCAAATAGCTATATGAAAATTATGTGTTTTGGGATCAGCCTTCACTAGTTCCCCATTTACATAGATATAAATGCAGAGATTTCCCTTCTTCACCTCCAAGTCCTTCTCTCAACTCAGGTAGGGAATATCAATGCTAGCACCTTTTCCCAGGGTCAACTGCTCACACAAGCTAGAGACCTGTCTCTGTGGTGCTCCAAGTCTTCAGGGATGCTTAGAAGGAACTCTATGACAAATATCCAATTTATTCTACCCTGGGCATCTATGTTTATTTCTGGAATTGCTTTGATATACCAGTGTATAGAGGTTTCAGAAAATTTACTTACACACACAATAAAAGTAACAGTAAATTAAAAAAAAAAAAATTGGTCAGGAAAATAAATTTACCTGTTTCAGCAATTTTATTTTCCGGCTTCATTTTATCATGGTCTCCTGGTTCTGACAAGTCAAAGAAAAATGAAAGAGATATTTAAACTGCCTAGAAAATGCAATATACACAAACAACCTAAGCTCCCCCCCCCCACACACACATATACAGTTTCTTTTAGAGATTTTAATAAAATGTGATCTCACATAACTGTAGCTCTGGAGAGAGGCACTACTAAATGGCTATGAAATTGGCTTTATATCAAAATCCAGGTAGCACTGTTGTTAGCAGAGGGTATTGTTTTAGGAGAAGAGAAAAGCAGGACAGAAATGATTTTGATGTCTAAAGAGTGGGAAACATCTGATGAGAACAGTAAACAGAAGTGAGGTATACTTGTGGTGACTATTTTGGGCTTTTATAGGCAATCACTTCCTAAGTTTGATAAGTGTTAGTTTGGTTGCCCAGGTATTAATGTCAACTCTTTGAGGTAAGAGAACAGGTCTTGTGTCTCATAAAAAAAAGTCTCTGGTAGACATTTTATGGAGGTGGAGTGGGGAATGGGATCAAAAATGGGGAGGGAGGAAGTGCACTGGACTATGGTGATGGCACACGGGTGAAGTGGTGATGGGAAGCCCACGGGGATTACAACTGAGATGGAAAAAGGCAAAAAAATATGTAAAAATAAACTATTGTATTACTTTATATATATATATCCTCAAAAAACAAAGTCTCTGGCTACAACAGCACATATATTAAAATTGGAATCATCATCATTACTCTCATCTTGTTTTTTTAAAGGCTTATTTATTTATGCTTACAGAACTGGGGAACAGGCCAGAGGTGCAGGAGGTGAGAAGATTCACCAGAGACAGAATGGGAAGCAGAATAGGCAGACTGACAAAGTACACTGCTGAGGGGAGCAGTGGGTAGGTCAGGAGAGGTCTGCCGGGCCATGTGGGTCACCTCCGTGGCCAGGGATGGAACTCAAGGTGAAGTTGCAGCAAGCTTCATGGTGCTGCACTTTAACCCTTTGCGCCACCAGGGAGGGCCCAAGAGCACCAGTATTACATGCACAGTGTAACTACTTGGAATATATTATTTTAACATCATAGTACACTTGGAGGTGGGTAATTTGTAAAACAGTTGCAGCTGCACTTGAAATACTAAATCTCATCATTTTCTGTGAAGATTAGCTAAGTATTGTGGCATTAAGTAGATTTCTTTACATAATATGAAGAAACAGCCTTTTATTCATTATTCTTTTTTCTCCAAACTTCTTTAGCTGACCCTAAATTACTGCCACTTTAGAAATCATGTATATTCAATGTATTATGTAATAAGAGCATTGTAAATTGCTGAAATGACCAATATCCACTGTAGCCAACAGGCCTCCTTTGTCTTAAGTTGGCCTATTCCATTCTGTTATAATTAACATCCTACTATATAATGAGATATAACAAAAGTTTAAGTATAGCAAATGGAACTTAAGACTAATAACAGTGCTATTACATTGCCATTAGTGATGCCATTTAAAATTATGTATCAAGAAGAGGGAATATGTCAGGCTTTTCCCATATATATCGGACATACTGTGAAATACTAGATAAAGTCTCTAAATCCCATTAATATTTGTAGTAATCACAACTGTTTTTAGAGCTAGTGATTCTACTTGTTTGTAATAAAAGCAAAGCATTATGGCTTCTAAGAGTCATTAAGGATGTAATCTTAATTCATGGTAATCAAAATTCTCATAGGCCTGCTGCTTTGTTTATATAATCAGATATTTGGAATTATCCAGATGTCAGAGTTTTCCAGCTTTCATCAAAATGTTTTGGCATGTGTACTGTGAGTTTCTTCTTTGCTATAACTGGCTTTCACATTACTTATGTCATTTTTGTAGAAATTAATTAGATACTCTAACTGATGGGGTAGTTAAAAGAAAGTTGTCCTGATTTTATGTGTTTTACACCATATGTATTTCATATGATGTACTTATAAAACGCATCAACATTTTAGGTCTAAATGAACAAGACAATGACCAACACAAAGAAAGAACTGGGTTGTGGGCAAGTACTTTGTTGATTTCTTCAGCAACTCACACTTACTTGCACACTCCTCTTGTGAAATGTGGTTATTAATACTAATGTCATCTACTGCAATTCCACCAAGGTTTCCTTTTCCGATTTCACCTTCAAAAATCACCTAACAAAATAAGATCATTTCATAGTATTTAACTGTTCAGTCCCAAATAGCAATGTTTATAAACGCTTGTTCAGCTGAAGCTATTGCACATAAATTAGATCCATGAGACCTCACATTAGCCCACATTTCGCTCATTGTTTCATATTAAATGGCTGATGATGGCATAGAACCTCTTTCATGCCCTTTTTATAACACAAAGTTTAAAAGTGGAAATAGTAGCCAAATAAATACTACATAGTGAGAGCCCAGTGTAGATTATAAAGTATTATTTCCCTTTTTTCCTCAACAAACTGGTTTTATTCCAGTAATCTAGGAGACTGCAAAATACACTACTGAGATTATCATCACTGTAGCAATATTTCAGGCTTGAGAAACACGTTACATAATTTTGGGGAATAGTCCCACATCCAATTTTCATGATCTTCAAACTACTAACCTAGTGTCTCTACAGCAACTGCCCTCCTGAACCTGAGGGCAGGGTCATACCTGATAAAGTTTCAAGGATTTGTGGAGCAGGACACGCCCTTCTTTCCAGTGGTCTCCTTGGTGTCCGATGGCCATCCATACCAACTGATCGTACTCCTCTGGCTTCTGGTAACGCAGTTTAACCCTCAGTGTGCCCACATGAGAACCGGACATGTGATACCAGAAGGTCATGCAGTGGGCAGAATTCTGGGAATAAACCACAGGGCTCACTAGGCGTGCCACTTTGCCCTTCTGGTTTTCGTCTGCTTGGGAATAGATGAAGTTGCCATCTCCTGCTGTGACAAAAAACTGTGTTAGGGAGAATGGCCAAATTTACTGCTCCTTTGTCTCTTCTCTTTCATGTTCCATGGTGTAAACCATGTCTTCCGAGCTGGATACCAAGATTCCCAATATGCAGCAGAAAGAGAATGGTGTGAAGTTGTTGGGGAACCTTCTTGTACCCAAGGTTCCTCTGAGTTCCTGTGAATGAGCATTTGATGGGGGGAGGTTGTAAAGCAGTGCTAGCTTAAATGTGACTTGGTGCATTGTCACATGGTCATAGGCTTTGACTAATGTCAATGTTGCAGCCTTGCAAACAGATCCCAAGTATGAGAAAGACCTGCACAATTATTTTTATGCATTTTTAAGATTGCTCCAGCGGTACCTGTATGAACACAGAAACTAAATGCAACAATTTGGATGTATTTTTACTTGTTATTTGAGCAGCAGAAGTTCCGGTTGAAGACACTTTGGTCCCTATAACTACCTGACAATAATAAATTTGCAGTTTTTCCAAATAATTTAGCAATCCTCTCTTCCCCCAATCAATTATTTCTCCTTAGTTTATTTTAATGACTTTCAAATTCCTTAAATACATTTGAGAGCTTGAGGATCAACTGTGAGTCTGACTTCTGTTTGATGTGGGCTTCTGGTTCAAGGAGAAGCAAGGTTGCATTTTTAAGGCTTATTAGAATATACCATTTTGGCAATGTAGACAGTTGCCAAGCTGGGAGGACTTACTCTTAGCTTTGCATTTAATTACCCCCAGTGGGAACATTTTCTCCTGCTACCACCTGGTCTAAACACACAACTCATGTTTCACTGTTTGTTCTGCAAATAGAAATCACCTACTCTAAAGCTTCACCTGATGTAAGTGTGAATCTGATGTTCAGGCCTCAGTGGGGAGGGGTTGTTTTGTTTGCTGCCCAAGAGGCTTGTGTGTTTGTGAGATACTTTTTCATTGTGCATATGTAGGCACATCCTTATACCTGTATGCCTGCCTGTGAAAACAGCATTCAGGTGGAAGAGGGGTATCAGTAGGCCACTTCTTTCATCTGGCTACTTATATGAGGTGCCCCCAAAACACTTAATAAGACCCATAAGTGGAATAATAAAAGGAAGATGGAAATGAGTCACAGGCCTGGCAATATGTTTGATGCCTGGCAATGTGTTTGATGCTCTCTGCCTCTGTGTGTTGTCACCCATGGCCAAGCAGACGGAGTTGTTCAACTCACTACTTAACCAAGAGACAAATTAGCAATTTGGCAGTGTATTTCACTGAGATGAGCCTGTGTTGGTCCACCAAGATTGGGCAGGTAAACCTGTCACTGGTCTCTATTCTTTCTCCCCAGTCTTATGGAAGAAAACTCAGATGCTGCAGAGAGGAAACAAATTAATGAATCCATTATCTTGGTGATTTAGGGATTAGAGGGTAGAAAGGAGAAAAGTGGTCTGGGAGAGGAGGAATTCTGCCTGAGGAATCTCTCCTGCTTCCACCCTACTGCCATTGTGGTCTTTCAAAAATCTGCCCATATCTTTCTTACCTCTGCTTGAAACTCTTGGATGGTTCCTCCCTGCCTTCAGGCTACCAGCTTCTTCACATAGCAACTGAGGCCACTTGCCCCGAGCCACACATCCAATGGACTCACAAAAGCAAAATGTTCAAACCATGCCACTGGCAATTCACTAAAACCAGTGCTCTGCCCTACACATCTGTGTACCTGCCAGTGCCATTTCTTATTCAATCTGGTTGAGACAATCTCTAAGACAGGGCTGCTTTGGCCCAACCCTCCCATATTATCTTTAACCAGTGTTGCTCTCTGCTGCCATTGGTGTTTGATAGCCCAAACTGAACCAGGCTGTCATTGCTTCCTACTCAGAGTCAGACAGTGAGAGCCTCAAGAATAGGGCCTCTCCCCTGTATCCCCACATGTCCAGTGCCCAGTTCGGCATCCACCATGCCACAGGGCAGCCCACACATTATTTGTTTGATGAACCAGAGACAGACGCTGGGTTTCAGGAATCTTCTGGAATGGGAGTGCATAGTTTCACTGTTAGAGTTCAAATGCTGAAAAGCAAGTGGGGTTCCTTCACATCAGTTCAAAACTGGGGAGCAGAATAGTTTACTTAGGGTTAATTTTTAAAAATCTCAATGCCCAGTTTGCAGAGTGCTGCCTGCGCTCTGCTGTCAGTTTGTGTGCATGCCCTTTTCATCTAGGTTTTTTTTTTCATGTTAACAAGTTCCTGTCTTTCAAATGTCAGGCTCAGTAAATGATTGTGCTTCTAGTGCCATGGGGACTCTCAGTAGTTAGGGCAGACCTGGCATTAGAGCCAAGTGGAATCTGTGAGTTTGTCTGGAGAACAAAAGAGACAAATCCTTTTGAAGGAATCACACTTCTCAGATGTTAATCAAGACAAGCCCTCCTTTTCTGATACTTCAACACATAAAGAGCTGATATTTTTCCTTTCAGGGTTTTTTTTTTTTATCACAATTCTGGGTCAGGAACTCTGTCTTCATTTTCTCAATTAGCACTTTACTTCTGCAAGCCTTTTAGCTTTTGTCTCCGGCTAACATAGCTTTTAACCTCCTTTGAATGTCAGATCCTACTGAGCCATTTTGCTTCACTTTGCATCAATTTTTCCACCATTACTGCCTTCATTTCAGCTAATTGCATTTGGTTAATTTGATGCCATTTATATGTACAGTGCCATTTACAGTCAAAGTATTTTAAGTTTTCTAAAACTGCTTGTCTTAAGACTCAATTGAAAGTGTCTCCGAATTGAAGGAGTCCAATTTTATCCAATTTCCTTGTCATTCTCATTAGGCAAGGAGGTAGCTATGGTGGAAGGAGGTCTATTCAACTTACTTAATAGTTATGTTCACTGGGGACAAAAAGTGAACAACAAAATAGGAAAGGCACAAAGTATCCTCTGCCCATCCATTGGCCTACCCACCCATCCTAATAAAGCACCAGCATGGGAGGAACTTTGCTTAATGAGATTTCTCAGAATCAGCAAAGGTTCCTCTGGGGTGTCTTTTGGGATGCCCCTATTTGAGTAAGCAGCCCTGTATCACCAGAGGGTGGAAGTTGGTGGGCTGGGTGTGTGTAAGTGTTTATACTTTTTGCAAGACACCACTGGTTCTTTATTCCTTATCTCAAGTGGAGTGATGAAATGACCAGGAGGAAGCAGAGTCCTCTACCATCCCTCCCTCGCTAATTAGTAATCGGAAAAAAAGTAGATGGGGGTGGGGTAGATTGTGAGGGGGGTGGGAGGTTCCAGCTGCTTTGAAGATTTAAAATCTTCCCTCAAATTAAGTGTCCAGTCCCATCCGGTTCTACACTGAAAGGTCAAGAGAGAACAAGCATCAGGCTTACTTATTGCTTCTTTAGCTGTGAAATAAATGAGATGATATATGTCTTAATTTGCTTCAAAATAATCCGGAGATAAGATACTTGGTTTGATTTTATATATATATATATATATATATATATATATATATAAATAAAATACACACACACACACACTTACATACACATCTGTGTGTATATATATATGTGTGTATATATATGTGTGTGTATATATACATATATACATACACATGTGTATGTGTGTGTCTCTATATATCTTTTTCTAACTCTTTTCCCTTTTGAAGGTTTAAAATTTTTCATAAAAAAGTGTGCAAAGTATAGGAATTTTCCTATATTTACCCCGTTTGCAATTTTTTGGAGATCCATCAGTTAACACATTTAATCAACTTGTCTTAAATCATTCTTTACCACTAATGTATCTCTAGTAGGGAAAAAGAATTGGTAATTCCAGGAAATAAAAACATGTGTTAAAGCTCTGTGGTATTTCTAAACTCCCTTAAACTCACAGATCCCAGGAACGCTCACAGTAACTCATTCAAAGAAATGAGGCCTCAGTGAACTCTTCGTTACCTGTATGATCCTGGATTGGTCCTGTTTTGCTGGTCAACACACTCCACTTGAGTTGCACATGGTTGTCATGTTCCCAGTGACAGAAGGTCTTGTGAGAACCCCAGCCAAATTCACAGTTAAAACCATATGTTGGAAACTCTTCAGTAGGTGGAAGGAAAAAAAACAGAGACAAGCAGAGAAAAACAAATTTAATCATTTAGGGTTAAACAAAGATCCTTCATTCATTCGTAGCAAGCACAATTTCTGTAACTTAAATGTCTGTTGAAAAATTGTAGGACAGTCACAAAACTCAGGATTACTAGGAAATTCAAAAGATGCATGAAAAAGTCAAAATATTTGCAAAATTGTATTTAATATATATTTTCATGCAGCTTTAAAGCTTTAAAAAGATTTTGAACTGTTTGTCAGACTAGTTTTATAAAAATTTTCCAGGAGGGTTACAGCCCAAAGAATGTATTTTACATCTGCATCATTCCACCTATTTCCACTACATTTAATAGGAAAGACACTCTGTTCTTGAGGATGAATCATAAAAATTGATATCCACCAATAATGCGCATCTTAGTTAGATATTGACCTGTGAACCACAAAAGTCTATAAAATGTGAGTTGGCTGAGTGCCCCATCTTGAGCTATTTGTATTCTCCTACAAGCTTTTGCTTCAGGTCTTTTTAGTGTCAAGCCTCTGAAGCATTTACGATTTTTTTCTTCTGTGCTTTACCTCAGGTCAGTTAATTTTAGTGTAAATTTCTGCTTTTTAAGTAAATCTTTAAATTTGCATATAAATTACTCACTTAAAACCTCAAGGCAAGGTCATGTAAAGCCTGGGCACATTCAAACAGTACCCCACTTTTTTTTTTTTTTTAATGTTCAGAATGTTTCTTTTGGAGTCTGAAAAGAAAATGCCTATAGATTCATAGAAATGATTTGTGTATTCTCCTAGCGCCATTGACTATAGTATACCATAGTATTTTTTAAACCTCTGTGGCTGTATTTTCTACTCAACCCTATTTTAAAAAATAGCTTAACTTTTAAATATGGAAAAAAATGAAATCATTAATGCTTGGGATTCTTTTTGGCAAACTCAAGCCAACAATAAAAATAATTTTAAAGATAAAAGCCTGACGCTTCTGCTAGTCCCACTCTTCCACCCTACATAAGACCGAACATATAAAATGTGAGTTTTCGCTAATGAAGGATGGTCACTGCATCTCACCGAGTTTGTGCCATCCACCAGGTGGCAGTATTGAAACAGAGAGAGGTGCTTAGGCATCTTGCCAATTGAACCAAAAATTTACGTTTCAAAACAACCCCTATGAACAATAAGTAAAATGCGATATTATATGCTGCATTAGGGTCTGGCTGAGATCGTGTCTCCTTTTGATCTTTTCTTTAACTTGACCCAAATGGTTAACACAAAGTTCTTTCTTCTCTGAGCTTGGGTTCCATCACCTCTCTCCTGTTTTAACAATAGTAGGAGGAAGTTTAAAGGTAAGATTATTGGATAGATAAGGATAATTAACTTTGCAATGTAGTTTCCACAGAACTTTTTGCAAAGGCTAGCAGCAAATACTGGAAGACTACCATATGAATTGTCAAAAAATGCAGGAATGGAGTCTCCTTTCCAATGACAATGTGACCTCCACAGAGAAGCCCTGGGCCAGTTTGGGAAAGAAACTCATAAGCTATGTGATGTGTATAATGTGAGCAATTTCTGTTAGTGCAAAAGGGCTATGTTTCACAGCTATAGTGTCATTGGAAAGATATATTTCATGTCTAGTCTATCATAACCATGAAATAGGACTGCTAAAAGCATGAGAACCTCTCTCCAAAATTTACCACACTTTTGTGCTACATTATTGAATTATTTAAATGAAGTACATTCAACTGAACAGTGATTGAATGGTTGAACAACCTTGGATGTTAATGCCCATAACCCTGATATGTCGCATGGTTTCATGTAAAAAAATATTAATACTGGAAAAATTATGTTGCATGTGGTTTGGGGGTTTCCTCCTTACATACAGCCGGTAAGAGATGCATTGTAGCACTGTTAGCCATCACAGCACACACACATTTCGGGTTATATTGGCTTTGTTAATATGTTAAATGTATCCGATAGCACAGAAAACCACACATTCACTACTTTTGGCTACTAATGTGGTGATCTCATAAAATATATGAACTTGGCTATTTTTTTCAGTTACCAGGACGTGAGAAGGCTTTTCTTGAAAGGATGATTTTGACATTTCTCCTGCTGCTCAGGACAGCAGTAAGCCTTTATCTTCCAAGTTCTTTCTAGTTTATTAATTTAAACTTTTAGGTCTAATTGGCACTCTTTCTTCTTGTCCTAATCATGTAACTTAAGCAATCCTGTATTGCAGGGAAGAGGTGTGCAGTAAGAATAGCTAAATGTTAAAAAAGTAAGCCTGCCTGGGGCTCTCCCTGGTGGCACAACAGGTTAGGACGCAGCACTGCAAGTAAGCTGCAGCCACTTCTGTGCGAGTTCAATCCCCGCCCAAGAGGTGACCCACATGGCGCACAGACCTCTCCTGACCCGCCTGCTGCTCCCCTCAGCAGTGTGCTTTGTCGATCTGCCTGTTCTGCTCCCCACTCTTTCTCTAGTGAATCCTCTCACTGCCCCTGTACCTCTGGCCTGTACCCCAGTTCTATATGCATAAATAAATAAATCTTTAAAAAAGTGCAAGCCTGACTAGAAAGACAATTAAGCACACAATACAAACATAAACATCCATAGGGAAGAAACAGAAAGCGAGGAAGAGGAGAGGTCATAAGCAGAGAAGAAAATGGAAGATAAAGAGAAAAGCAAATGGACTAGAGAAATAATGTGTATGGGACTTTGACCTTTAAATCTTTAAAAGTATTACTCAGGCCCTGTAGCTGCACAATTCTCATTAAATTCATTGGGAATAATCTGACTAAATCCTTTCTGGACTCTTAAAAAATAGCAGGAAACAATATTCTGAACTTAAAACAATTTATAGCCGCTGTGAGCAAGCACCAGCTGCGCCTGCCGAGCTGATCTTGCTTGCAGTTGAATCATTAGCATCGTATATGCACAAGGATTTCATTTTAAAATCTGGTTTTCAAAACTTCTATTGTGTGTGTTAACTTTTCTGCATAGACAGATCCTTCAGTCCAGACAAGCAGAGGTGCTAAGCCCACGCTACAGCTATACCTAGCTGCCATAGGAATGTTTGAGGATCCTCAGAGGGTAAGAGGCCTCATCATGGGGAGCTAGATTAAAAATGCAGAGTATTCATCAGTTACTGGCAGAACATTAATAGGTTTTATGCACCTGACTACATCCCAGACACTATAGAATAGTCGATGCCCAATGTTTTTATTATATTGACAAAAACCTTAGAAAGAAATCTTAAGATCCTGCTGAAGTCTATTAGGGTTCCAATGAAATCACATCCTGATGAAGCTTTAAGGGTCTAACTGTTTCTGCTAAATATCCCTGTAGAATCTGGAACTGCAGAGAAATGTGAGTCAACATAGGCGGATTCTACCACTGGGTTTTTGCTTCTAAGTTGGTCATTGGTAAACCTGGTCTCTGACTTCATGCATATTTAGGTCTTGATGAAGAGTCCTGAGTATTGACTTAGCTAGACAGTAACAATAAACAGAACTCCTCAACAAAGGTCAGACAGTCCATTACCCAAGAACAAAGATTTGAAGTCCACATTCATGACTCAGATAATGGGAAAACAGGAAATCAAGGCTATTCGTCAAGGACTCTGGGTTGACAACAGAATTCAAAATCAGACCAGACCACCTTATCTGTAAGTCCGTGATTTGAAGTAAACTTTGTTCAGATGGCGATAGTACTGAACCATGATTTGTACATTTGCCCTCCCTATGAGATGGCCATTTGTTGTTGGAGTTCCTTTGCAAAGCCATTGTGGCAAGTGCTTTACCACAGGCACAATTCAAATGTGTTCACAAAGTCACATTGTTCTGACAATATAGACCAGCAACATCACAGGGAAAATTATCCCATTTTGGAATCTGATATACCTTCCCATCTTCTCCACAGCTGAACAACAGCTGTTGCTTTTCTTTCTTTCTTTTCTTTTTTTTTTTAATGATCCCAAGTGCTTTTGGTAGGCAATGATAAATATGAGATGAAACAAGTTAGTTGAGGGCTACTTCTTAGTATTGTTTGTGACAAAACTTGAAAGTCATTTTTGCACCTCACTTCTTTCCCTGTCACAGAAAGGATGGGAGCAATTGTTGTTCTTTCTCCTCAGAAAGCTACCTGAGAGCACTTCATACTCTCCTGAAAGGAAGGAAGGAAGCAGGAGGCAGGGTTTCACCCCTACAGTAGCTTCAAACACCCAAGGTGGCCACATTTTATAACTAGAAAAGATGTGGGTAGGACTAATGATGCAATTATTCTTGTTTCATCTTTTGGCATTTGAGGGCAGAGGAGCTGTGTGGTGGCAAGGATGTATCAATATAAGCCCAACACAGGGACACTCGGGGTTAAGTTCAACTGAAGAGAAGTTTGTTTTGCAGTTTAATCAGGTCAACAGTGACAGAGTCCTTTAAGGAAGCATACTAATTAGAGAAGTCCTTTCTACTTCTGCAGAGCTGGGTAATGTCACACTGTTGAGGAAACATTGATACACACCACACGCCCCATTAATAAATGACTGTGGAGGCCAAGGCTGAGTGAACTTCAATAAAGGAAAAGGACGAAGCTGGAAACTGACCTGTTCACCTTACTCTAATGATTAACTTTAAAGTATTTAAAACTTCTGATTACTTCTACTCTTTCCTTCATGTGTGTCCATGGGGAAGAACTTCTGATTACTTCTACTCTTTCCTTCATGTGTGTCCATGGGGAAGAATTTTACAGAATACTAACAACAACAACAACAAAAAAAAAAAAAAAAAAAAGAGAGGGAGGGAAAGAGAGGCTACCGTTTAACAGTGGCTGACTTCTGATAAACAGCAAACCCAGGACTTTAAAAGCCATCCTGCTTTTCTATTAATAAATGGACGCGGGTGCTATTCCTGAAAGCGCTGCTCTCCCTGCACACAATTATAGCTGTGGTTTCCTGAACCCCATTTCGTGGCACGCCCACTGGAAATGCTGTTGTAAAACTGCCAAATCTGTGGCAGGCAAAACTGACAAACTTTGCCTGTTTCGTTTTTTTTGCAGAATCGTGATGAAAATAAATAGTCAGGCTGCTGCCTGTGAGATTTCCTCCTCCTCTAGTTTGCAAACACAGTCCGTGTCCTAGATGTGCTGTGTTTAAACAAAGTATGTTACCAGTTCCCTCAGTGGAGAGCTGGGATTGTCACATTTGGCAATTACTGATGGAGAGGAGTATCTCACTTCTGCTGCATATACATGTGGCTAAAAGAAAAGCAATATTTATGGCTCATGCTTGGAGACCAGATGCTGCGTGGCATCGCTCTTCTGGGACATTGAGGGAAACTGAAATGGAGAAGTTACAAAGCACTGTTTTTAGGGAACAGGGCAGGCATATACAAAATCAACATTTTCTCTTTTATTTGGTACCTGACTGTATTGTGCTGTCGATGATGGTTGGCTTTTCTGTGGCCAGCATGGTGGTACCACCTGAAAAACAAGAAGAGTAACATACAAAAATGAGGGAAAGTCAGCATTGTAGAGCATAAGTAGTTGAGAAACACCGTACGCGGACACAAAGCATCTTATGGGTAATGAGGCAAACGCTTTCTGTACAAAATTCTTCCTTTAATTCCTGCTCTAGTAGTTGTTTCACTTAAATTTTGCTCAACACAATATCAAATTGAAATAAGCCACCACTTTTCACCCAACACTTTTATTTGCCATGTTTGCTAGGCGACATGGAAAAAAGTCTGAGACTTCTTCCCCAGGGGATTCCCTGATTCCCAGGCTAAGCTGGGCATACCAGTGTGAAGGGAAAACAAAGGCCTCGGTGACTGGGGTGTTAAACTTGACCTTGATTTTAGATTTTAGATGAATGCTATGAGGCCATGGCAGAACTTGGCCTCACAATCTATTTTAAAAACTGAAAGTTTAGGGCCCTCCCTGGTGGCGCAGCAGGTTAAAGCACAGCACTAAGAAGCTAAAGCCACTTCAGCATGAGTTCGATCCCCGCCTGCCCTGGAGGAGATCCACATGGCGCGGCAGACCTCTCCTGATCCGCCCACTGCTCCCCTCAGCAGTGTACTTCGTCGATCTGCCTGTTCTGCTCCCCACTCTGTTCCTGGTGAATCCTCTCACCCTCCGCATCTCTGGCCTGTACCCCAGTTCTATATGAATAAATAAATAAATCTTTAAAAAAAAAACACTGAAAGTTTAAAATGGATGTCAGTGATTCACCCTTTCTTTTGCTGCTATAGTTGTTTATTTTTCTCCAGGACAAATATTCTTCCCAGGATTCTCTACACTTTCAAGGAACTGGAAGGTTGAACAAATAATAACCCTAAACATTGTGGATTTATGATTAGTTTGGGTTGACTTTGAAATTCCTGGTCAGGAAAAGTGGTACCAGGTAGAGGAAGCTTTATATTTTCCTATCTTCCATTTCTCAGCTCTGCCATTTTTCATTCTATCATTGTACACTTGATGTAGTATTCTCAAATTGATGCTAATATTAGAATCATCTGAATGCTTGTTGAAAGCAATTTCCAATCTATCTCTCCTCAGACCTCATGGAGAACAAGAATCTCTACAAGAAATAAGTATTTTTGAAAGCTTCTCAGGCGAGTCTTATAATCTATGAGGCTTGGGAAACTCCAGTTTGCTGTTTATTACTTAAGTGTCTGAGAAAGCTGTTTCTCCTCATGTGAATCTGTGATGTAGCTCAAGGTCTAAGAACATCTGTTTCCCAAGAGAGAAAGTCCCGGACAGACTCAGGGCAAGGGCCCAGACTACCATGGACAGGTTTGAAAGTGGGTTATCAGGTACCATTGTACACTTTACAATATTATCCATCAATAAAGATTTGTGAGCATCTGTATTCTGATCAGGCTGTAGTCTTATCCTGAAGCTCCCACAGGTCAGAAATCATCTGATTCCTGATATAGAGTCATAAAATCAGGATTTCTGAGCTAATGGATGGCAGCACCAAGCCCTGTTATCCTTGCTCTTCTGGTAAATATGTTGGATGAGTGGCCACACGTGTGGTGACCTCAATAAGGCAGGCGCTAGGAAGAAGGAATTATATATATTATGGGTTAAGAAGGTGAATCTATAATAGCAGAACTGGAGGAGGGCCAGAATACATTAACGTTCTGTTCCCAGAGGTCTTATAAGAGAAAGACTCAAGATGAAAATTCACTTTTTAAAACCAATATGTATTATCAGTCTTGTTATAGATTCATAGCCAAATTCCACTGTGAAATTTGGCCTCCTGGTGACTTTGAAGCCATTTGTATTAGGTAATCACTTCAAAGCACTTGCAAATGAATAACTTCTAGGTAAATTGTCACCTTGGCAGGCAGTATGGGACAGCAGAATCGTTCTCCATTTCCATGCATTTTGTCTAGTTCACCTGGAATTCAAAGTTGTCTGTAAATAAGGAACATTTTGCTACAATAGTTTTCTCCCTCTCTATATAGGTAGGTGACCCTAGGAGGAGAAATTAAAGTGATAACATCTGCTTTGAAGAACAAAACTGCTAAACAGAGCGCTGGTCCTAATTTCCATGTTCCCACCTATAATGGTTGAAATGAGAATGCTTTTAGTTTGGTTTCTTTACACGGAACATTCAAAGTCTGTAGTTCTAAAGCCTGTGACAGATGGAACAAAGTAAGCACAGAGCTGTGTGTGAGCCCAGGATGTGAGCTGTTAGTAAGTGAAACGATACTTAGGTGAGGGTTTGCTTCCCAAAACATCAATACCTCTTTCCAGAAAAGGATAAAACACACATTTATAAAGTAAACTAACTTTATCCCTTCAAATAAGTTTTTTCTAAAGGGGCAAATAGACTATAATGAAAATAAATGAAACCAAAGCACTAAATGCCTTCTTAAAAATCACCTCTTTCTAATGGGGGAAAGGGATGGACATTATCAACACCTCAGAAATTCTTAGTGCACATATTTGTAGAATTATTGAAACAAATGTGCTGGCTTAATAACTACTTTTTTTTTTTGCCTTGATACTATGTAAAAAAATAGAATTAACTTGTTTTTTTCTGTCTACCCAAGAATTGATTTAAGTGCTGTAGATAAAACATAATCTTGTACTTTTAAAGGATTGTCAGTATTTCCACTATAAATGACCCATTTTCTGTGGTCTGTAGCTCATTGCCATATACAACTTGCTCCAGGCTAACATACTTGCCCTATTTCATTCAAAAGCTTCAGTTTCAATTGATTCAGTCATGAACTGATGCAAAAATGAGAAGGTTGGTTGTTCTGATATGAGGAGTCAATCTGAGGCTTTGTTTCTAATCAATATTAACTGACCACTTTACATTTTATAAAGAAAAGAACCCCGCTACACAAGAGGGTAATTGAAAAAGGTCTAATGTGATGACTGCAGGCATTCCTTTTTATGAGGAATTTCACTATGGATGTGTGATAGCGTCTGCAAAGCCTGATGTTTGTAGCAGTGTTTACAGGCAGCTCTGGGAAGGTTCCAGAGGACCTGGCTCCTAGATTGATAACATTAACTTTTGGGTTTTCTGTTTGAATTTGTCATCTCACAAAGAAAGTGCCTTTACATCAGGGCAATTTTTTGTGATTTGTGACTACTTATAGAGAAGATTTGTTTTCACAAGCCCACAGCAATGTAACATTTGTTGGCCAAATGAATGTAAGTGGTTGTTTTGGAAATTTGGAGGGAGGCAGCCTTAGGAGGTGGGATTGAAATGTAAACATAGTTCATTTTACTAACTTTCTGAGCTGTATTTTACCCTGTATTCCATCTCAGAGTGCAGAACTCTCATTGCTTCAGAGAAGAGCTCCTGAAAGTATTAGAAATGTACTCTTGGACATTTCCTTCCAGATTTTCATTAATGCATTAGCCAATTACATGATGCTATTATGAAGTTCAATGGTTACACCTTCAGATTCATTCATGAAAGTTAATTATGTGGACTACCTAAGTTGCTACTGGGTGAACACACAGACCTACCTGTTTAATCTAAAGTGGGGGTCAGACACTCTATGAAACTGTGATGTGCCACAGGCAACAGTAAAGGTTCCACAGTACCTTTTGTAACAATTGGATGAAAATCATAGTGCCTTGGCCAGTTTTCAAATTGTAACCCATTTCCCCACTTACCCAATATTCTGTCCAAGTAGAAAAGAAAGTCACTTTCCAGCTTCTAGACTTTTAGAAATTATAGACTACTACTCTAAATTTATCAGTAAGGCATTTGGGACACATTATCCTGTTATATTTGCTTGTCAGCAGTACTGTAAAATAACAACTAATTCTGTCTTTGCAAAATTTTATGTAAAATGATTTATAAATCCCTAACCTAAAAGCTGCATTTCAAATATAAACCCAATTTTATCAATTAGTTTGATAAAGGAGCCACTCAAAAAGATCTTCCCCTCACTAGAGGGGAAGTGTTTAAAAAATAAACACTTGAAAGCACTTGGCTATATAAGGGTGTTTTTTTGGGGGGGGGAGCGGGTGGAGTGGGCTTGAAGATGAGTTTCAGTTTACTATATTTAGACATGGAGAAATTTTTATTCCATTAAGATAATCCTAGTTTTGGGCTCTGAAAATGACTAAAATTATTGTTTTCGATGACTGTGACTATGAAGAATGACACTTATATGGTTGTCACAGGAGATGAATATGCACATGTACTGATGAGGTGGCCTCAGTTGCTGGGGCAGGACTGCCATCATGCTGGTGTCCGTCCAACACCATGAGGTCTAATGAACACACGCATAGGCATTGATTAGCGCATGTCAACTACAACAGGAACTAAAATGGCAGAGCAATGGGATGAGATGGTTTCTGCACCTGTGAGCTGGAAGTCATCACCTGTTCCACTGTGGCAGTTGGCCTGGTCATCATCACATTCATCCACGGGGTTTCCATTAGGAGTAGTTGGTCCAGCAGTAGGTGCTGAAACAAGAGGCGAACACTATCATCTACCTTTGAAATGTACTCTCAAATTTCCACAGAATACTCTCATTTGATAAAAAGGCTGGGAGTATGACTCGCCTCTCTTTCAGGAGCTAAATATACTTGGATTTTGCTGAGTGTTCAAGTCTCTTTGTTTTGGTATTGGATCATTATCTACTGAATAGAATTACTGCCTTAGCATTTTATGCATTGTCATCTATATAAACATCCTTTCTCTCCTTTAAAGTTCTTGAATTCGCACTGATAATTTATTCATGACCCTTGAGTTGAGAACTTTGATGATATAGGTTTTGCTTGAACTGTTTCCTTACATTTTCAAGGTGCTAGGGAACTCACTTATTGTGAACTCTATTGTATTCTTAATATTAAAGAAATTTCCTGAACTTATAATTTCCCACCCCCATGTGATTCCCAACTTACTTTTAATATAAAATTGTTCTTTTCTTTTGAAGAGTGACTCCAATTCTCTTTATGTAAGCTCTCCAACCAGTAATACCTCTCTCTAGAGCAGTTACCTGAAAGGAGTCCTTCTATACATCTTGCGGTCATTTTACCTCAACTCCCAGAGGACTGCATTCCACTCTTGGCCAGTGTTCCCTATCTTTGAGCATTCAGTTGAATGGTTGCCAACATTAGCCAAAGAAAAACTGTTTGAAGTTCTTTAAATTTTTTATCCAGCCTGTTACTCATTTTTGCAAGCTGTTTAATATTTTACAAACCCTGAGATAATGTACAGTTCTCTTGATGTTTGAGATCCAAGTACATTATTAGGGACAGAGAGGTGTTCTCTCAAAGCTTCTGACCAGTAGGAATGTGCTAGGAACTATTGGTTTCTTAATAAAAACGTGATACTCTTTGTAACTGTGTATAAGCTCTGAGCAAGAGAATTATGACAAATGTAGAAATGCAGGTAGTTATATCTTTCTCAACTGCCCCGAATATACTAGGAAATCATAGCATACACACCACTGAAGCATACAGTCTAGACTTTATTAAATGTACACATATATTCTGGTCTTATTAGTATCATTGAATCAATAGAATCTTCTCTGGCAATCCAGATGTTTGCCTTTGCTAAGCTGTCCTTGCTTGTGAAAATGTGCCACTTTCAAGTATTTTAAACTCTCTATTTATCTTTCTTTCTCTTTTTTTTTTCCTACACTCTTTCTGGTGTTTATAAAGGCTGGTTCCACCCTGGGATTGGTCCAGGGTCATGTCCAGATGAAATTGAAAAAAAGCAGAAAGTGAATGATTTTTATGTCCCAATTTTAAAATTTGGTAATATTTTTATCTCCTGAAACTTCTCTAATTATTTCATACGTTTAAGTGCTAGCCCAGAGCAGTATAGAGACTCAGGAAAGGTTTTGCTGTACCTCATCTACCTTCTGTGTCCCTTAAGATATCTCCTGAAGAACAAAGCAAAGAGTAGCTATTTAATAATGGCCTGCTAATTGATTTAAAAAGGAAGAAAAATGCTTTTTCACCAATTGTGTTAAAAAGCTTTAACATTACTTTCCACAGATGTTGATGTTTCTGTGGCTTGGGGCAACTTCCTCGCTTTTGTGAGTGCTTAGAAACATCTGCAGGAATGCCTCTACCAACAATTTCTACCTCACGACAAGGCTAACTCTGGCAAACTGCCAGCAGACTAGTCTTTTCAATCAGCCATTCATTCCAACCCTAAGTCAGCGTTGCTCTCCAGAATTCAGGCTGAGGACCTTTATTCCAGCAGCAGACAGCTTTCCAGATGAGCATGCTTCTCAGTGAAATGAATGGACGTGTCTGCAGTTGGTTCAAGCTGCCCTCCTTTTTTTCCTTGGCATTTTTGCCAAAGACCTGACACATGGTCACTTTCGGTCTGTGTTGAGAGTGAGTGGGTAATTCAGATGTCTGGGGCATGACTACAGATGCAACACAATTAAACAGCGAAGAGCAGGAGATAATGGCATGCTTTTGAATAAACACATAGAAAAGAAGCTATGAATTATTCACTAACAGGGTGATTTATAGCTGAAGATTCCATAGTGCAGAAGAAAAGTTTTATATTTAATGTGCTCAGGAATGTAATTACATTTGGGTAGCTAACACGAATAATCTTGAAACCACAAGAAGAAGGTGATATTAAAAAGCATTCTTCAAAACAACTATGAGCATATGCTCCATTGATTAACATCTGGGTACCAACAATAGTTATTCTATGAACTAACCTAGAGAAAGACCTTTATTGCGATGGAAAAGTTGGCATAAGGTTACTTATTTATGCCCAAATCCAAGGCAGATGGGACTTTGAATGCACAAAGGCATTAAATAGTACAATAAGCAACCACCGTATCATTTTCATTCATCTCATTCAAAATGCAGAGGAGATGCAATCCTGAGGTCAGAGTGTGAATTGAATTTGCCCTTGAAATGACTTTCCTGTGATAACCTAAGTTCATCAAGTAATATCTGTTAGTAGACTTCACTATACATTTATACATATTATTTTATTAAAGTTTTGCTTCTCTGCAGCAAAGAAATTCCTCCAGGATATGGTCTTGATGTTTCAATTTGTCAAATGCTGGTTCCTCTAGTAAATGATGGTAATCAACACTGCAGACATAAATTGGATTGACAGAGGCTTCTAAACAATATATTAAAAGTCAAAGGAATTAGCGGTTGTAGGAACAGGGGAGGCAAATGTAGGCAGGAACTGTGTATAGGTGAGGGGCTTTACATTTTGACTGATGGAAATACTTTGGAACTGGATAGGGTAGTGGTTTCACAGATGATTTTGGTTGTACTAAATGCCACGAAATTACTCAATTGTTTACTTTAAAATGGTTAATTTCATGTTACATGACTTTCCCGTCAATAATTTTTTTTTTTTTTAAATCAAAGGAGACAATCCCACAGAATCTGAGGAGAGTTGTGCAAACAACCAGGACAAGAGCCGAATTCTGCAGGCGCTGCTGCTTGGAGCATTTGAGTATATTCAGCTGTACAAGCTGGCAGGCACAGAGAAAGGCAAAATCACCTGGGGTAAAGGTGGAAATTTTTGACAGCATCATCAGAGGCATAAAAGCATGAAAAAGTTAATTTTAAACACTAGGAAGCCAAAGGGACTTTGGAAATTGTGATCACCTTCCACTTCACAGCCCAGAAGCTCCATCCTGAGCCCGAGTCCACCGTGAGTAGCTCTCTCAGGGTAGATCCTGATGAATCGTGTGGAAAGAGGTGGAAAAGTCCGTAGCTCAGGTGTGTCATAGTTGTTATTGCCTTCAAATGACTGTGGAGGATGGAAAACAGTGGTTAGTTAGGAAGCATTACAGCCTCCCTTTCAGTGCTTGTTTCTACCCTCTTTCAGGATTCTTACTGGGAACCTTATAATAGAACCTACCCCATGAATTGTCTTGAGGAGTTCAGTATTTTAAATGAGTTCAAATATTTTAAGCACTTACAGGAACACTTGCATCAGTAAACACCATGTGACGTTTGATATATAAAAGGATACCCTTATGATAGGCAATTCCATCTTTCAAATAGGCCTCTTTTTACCACTTGGTACATGACTGACATTCCTTTCATAATGGAGAAGGAAAAAAACAATCCTTCTCTCAGAAGTGGCAGATGTCATTTCTCAGAAATTCAGAGTGCACACTGAGGCTACCCCAGGAGCTGAGGATTTAATGAGACACGTTTTTAAATGATATGCTGATATGCCTGGGAGAAGTGACACTTTTACCACTTCCTTGAGGCGGAGGAAGATACCCCAGGAATTGAACTTGACATTTTTCAGAGCTTGTTACAGACACCACATTTTCAGTAGCTGCTCCTGTTCTGGTCTATCAAATGAGTGGGCCCTGGTATTGTTAAAACTTGGTCCTTCGAAGAGGGAGGAATTAAATTCCTGAAATAGGAGGCAGTAAATTTAATATAGCGCAAATCCTGTTTATTCAAGAACTTGGGTTATTCCAGCCCATTGCAATTGCTATTTACTTAAGCGATACTACCAGTTGGAGGCATTTGTAGATGAAAGACCTTCTCATCTCCGGAAAGTAACAAGGGTCTTGAGGATTCTGGGGCTTGGCTGAATTGCAGGGAGTCAGCACCTCTTTTTGAAGTGCATTCCTAACTTGAAGTCACTGTGACATTTTTCAGGACGTAGGCCACCCATTGCTGTAGATTATTTGATGTCCCATTTAAAAATTGACAGGAAGGTCAAAATCCTTCAGTAGAATTGTAGGAAAATGGAGCAACAAGTAGGCCATTTTTCCTATGAAGAAACTTTTCTGTATCTTCTTCTCTGAACACCATTCTTAATCCAGAACAAGAGCTAGGGGAGGAGGGCTAGATAAAGCAAATCGTTTTTTTGAGTGTCCTTTTAGATCTTCGACATCCTATGATGCTAACTCTTGCAAGGCTTTGTTTTAAGTGCTTAAGATACATTATCTCATTTAGTCCCCAAGATAACTCCACAAGGCAGGTTCTATAATTAACATTGTTTTTACAATGAGGCACAGAGAGGTCAAGGCATTTGCCCATGGCACTACAAATGGTAAATGGCAGAATCCAAATTCAAATTAGAGAGGCTTAGCTGATACCCTTCATCATACTGCTATGATGCCTTTGCCTTTAGAAACAATCTAATTTTAAAAGATGAAACACTGAAGTTCAGGAAACTGAAGTCACCATTCAGTTTCATTAACTTTACATTCACTGCAATTTGGCCTTACCACACCTGGTATACCAAATAAGAGTGGTGGACAGCCCCAGGCCATGTCAGTCCAGCGTGGGCACCATAACAATATCTAGGTCAAGATGTTATAAACCAGCCAAAGATACCACCCCTCAGTGAGAGGACTACCCGAGCCAGATAAGTAGGAGAGAGAAACAGATCCACTAGGTTGTGAACATAACTGGGGTTTTTCTAAGATCTAGAAGTAAATTAATTGAACTTTCCCAACTCAGAGAGGCCTCTAGGAATCCCAAAATACATGGCTAGTCCTACTTTTCCCAATTAAAATTTCCTTCTATTATTTTCAAGAATGAGCTCACTCAGGGGGTTCTGCATTCTTGATAGAACTGCAGTGACTGCCAGTAATTGAAGTGACACATATTATTGTGAGGCCCATTAAGTGCTGTCAGTAAGATACAAATTGTAATAAAAAAATACCATTAGTACAAATGAAAATTTTTTTCCATTTTAACATTTCTACAACAATCATATCTATGGAATTTCAAGCTCTTCTCCCAACTTTAATTTTCACAAATTTAATTTGAGCAACAACACCCTATAAATACATTATAAAAGCTCTCAGTGATAAGTTCGGAAGATTAGCGATGAAGCATCATGTGGAACTGGGCTAACTTTGAGAACATAAGAGTGCTTATGAAATCTCTTTGCATCCTTTTATTTAATCAGATTTAAAAAGAGAACTTTGAGTACTTAGCTCTTTTTTCTGCTTCTGAACAGTCTAGTTAACTCAAGGACTTGATACACCTTGTTGGGACACCCTCTAAGGGAGTAGGTAGTAAGGATTTTCAATTCATTGAAATGCTGCTTTACTTCACAAAACAGAATACTCATTTTACTGTTACAGAAATGGTACTTGCCATCCTAAGCAGGTGAACTTCATAGATGAGTTTAAATATAGTATGTTTTAAATATCCTGTAGAAATTTGAATTAGGTTTTGCTCCCAAGTGGACAGTTTCACCAAGTTCCTTTTACATACTAAAAACTTTATTTCAGGGAAAGGCTGAGTTGGGAATCATATATTAGGTTCTATATAAATAACTTTGGTTTTGAATATCATTGAACTAAGATAAACATGGATAGAATCATGCTTGAGAATAAAATCTAACACATCCAACCAATCTTGAATGGGTTTTTTGTTAAAATTGATAACTGTGTGGCTTTTGTAAAATTCTATATAAAATGGAGAACAATAGAGCGATAGCTTTGGACTTGACTGCAGACTCTGGATTAGATAACAAAGACCAGGAAGCAGATGATGCATCTTATCCAAAGCATATGGAGATTTGTTTTCTTTTCCTTTTAGAATCCTAGTGATGAAGAACATGTCACAACAGCACACACTGCCATGTGACAGCAGCTCCGGGAAGTTGTTGATTTGCAGCGTATTCACACTTTGTGATAAAGTCAGAATGCTTACTCCTCAGGAAAGACTGGCTCTTAGGAGAACCAGTTTCTAGTGTTTATTTTACTTTTCTTTCACCAAAACAAGAGCAGCAGACATAACAGGGGGAAATGAAGTGGACACAAAAAGAAACTAGCTGCACAGAGATAAAAATAACACTGACAATGTTTTAGAAACCACAAGCTAACGAGGGGTCAGAGGGAAAGAAATTCTTAAATTTCTAGCAAAGTCTTCCCTGTCGGTGGTCTGACACATTAGTGCTGACCCAAAGTCTGTGGGGGGACAGGGAAATCTCTGTAGAGCCCCATTTTGTCCAGCTGGGGGGCTCTGCAGAGCTGACTCTACTGTGAGCTTGTTTCCTGCCTACAATGCCTTTGGTGTGAGTCATGACATTAAATCATATTCCCAAGCTTACTTAGAATGGGAGGGAGGCTAATACACCCTCCAAAGAGTGAGAATCCTCTTTCCACAGGAGTAGGGTTAGGCAAAGCAAGGATGGAAAGGCTGGACCAAAAGTTAAATCTGTTGATGTTAGAAGTATTATGCACTGAATACAGTTCCCATACTGCATACAGAACTCACTGTATATGGGTTGTTTAATCTTAAACCAGCCTCTGTGTCACTCAATACACTCCTGGGGATCCCTTCCTAGGTGATACGGTGTGCTCAGAGATGAAAAATAATTTTTAACATTCAATTAATTAAAATATAATCTCTCAAAAATATATTTGGTTAAGCACAATTACACCAGGTGTTTTGCAGAATATTTTTATATTGAGATTCCATTCTCTTTTCACAGGATCACCAAGAAACAAATGCATTTTAAAAGGTTCCAATGAGTAAAAAATGTATTTAATCATTATTTATAGCCAATAGATCATTATTTATGGCATCAACAGATGGATGAATACATAAAGAAATGTGGTCTATACACACACTGGAATATTATTTTGCTTTGAAAAGGAATGAAATATTGACATGTGCACAATCAGGTTGAACCTTGAAAGCTCTGTGCTAAATAAACTAAGCCAGTCATAAAAGAACAGATATCACACGATGCCACTCGCATGTGTCTCCTAAATGAGTCAAATTTAGGGAGGTAGCAAGTAGGGTGGTGGTTGCTAAGAGCTGGGGGAGAAGGAGATGGAGGTTATTATTTAATAGGCACAGGGTTTCAGTTTTGCAAGATGAAGAAGTCCTGGATATTGTTCACACAATAATTTTATACTATACTTAACATTACTGAGCTATACCTGAAGAAATTAAGTTGGTGAATTTTATATGCATTTCATTACAATTAAAAATTTACAGTGGTCCCTTAGGAAAAGGGGAATTTCCAGGTTCCCTGCACCACCCAAGGGAGGTTGGGACTGAACAGGAGGGAGAAGCACTTGGAGGAAGGAGGGAAGAAAAACAGGGAGAAGAAAGAGACCTGGAGGAGGCACACGGGAGACATGTGAAGAAGCTACGTTTGCTTGTTGGTCCTGGACTGGTTGAAAAAGATGTGGTGAGAGACCCATGGGGAGGTTGACCATGACGGCATTTATCTTGATTTTGCTCTTTTCCTTCCAGACTTATCTGGATGTTTCTGACCCTTAACAATTGGTCCTCACCAGAATGTGCCTTACATTTGTGGCAGGCTTTGGGTTAACCCTGTTTGGCTGGGATCCCCAGGAGAGGGAAGGGTAACATTGAGAGCTTAATTTGGGAACTGCATTCTTTGTCTTTGCTTTATTGCACATTAAGCATATGAAAGTTCTGTGCCATTGAAGGTTTTACACACCAGAGTATGTTTGTCTTGATGCAGTAGATGGCAGAATCTATTTAAAGCGGCAGGTTTGGGGATTCTGGATTTCCTCTCTCTGCCCTCTAGCAAAATTAGAAATGGGTGCTCTAGAAAGGTAGAAGGGTGGCTAAATGATAGAGTAGAACCTGCAGAGATTTTGAATTCCTACCGGGACTGCTAATGGGAACTGCTACCTCTGCCCTCACCGTGGCCTCATCTGCTCTCTGACTGTTCCATTGTGACTTTGTCTAAGATGTGGAAAGGTGGCCAGGAAAGCAGTTCTCCTCATTTATCTCCGACTTTACACTCAGTACCCCAACCCTGTCTTTCCTAGAATGGGCGCTTTTTCTGGTTCTCTCACATACCTCTACTCATGACAGTTTAAAACAAGAAAGTCCAGCTTTCTGAGGAAAATGTTGGAGATCATGACCTAAGACAAGAATGTGAGGGAGGATGTCCTCCCTGGGTGGGCTATCCCAGACCTCACCTTGGGCTTCCGCTTGCTGTCATCCATGATCATTTTCCAGTCTGAGCCATTGTTGCTATGCCCGATCTTGAACTTCCGCATGAACACTTTGTTTTCTCTGTGCTTCCCGCCCTGAATGATGATGCCCCTCACGATCTTCTCCTCTCCTAGGTCTACCTGCAGCCACTCATTTATATATGGGTGAGGCGCGGGGGGCAGGACCCAGCCAGACCGACTGGTCACCAGGCGGATATTTTCAGGCATCCAGTTTCTCTCTCCTTGGTTTGATGCTGTGATCTGGGAGTCAGAAATAAGCCCAGACACCATCCCCAACATTCCAGAGCAAGGATAGTCTGCAGAGTAGAAAGAAATACATCACAGAAAATATGAATTGATTTTCTAAAATACAACATATTGCATAAAAACATCACCTGTACCCACTCAGATACATTTTAAAATATCGATCATTTGGCATTAAACTAGATCCTTCTCTCCCTCAAACTTTCCTCCCACTTTTCAGAATGCCTTTCCCTAAACTTCCGAAAAGAGAAACTCTGGTAAACACATGCATTTCCCCCTTTTTGAGTTCTTCTAAGTGTAATGTCAAACTATTGATGTTTCATAGTCTTGGAACCATTAATATCCCCAGATAAAATATAGAGCTGCATAAAAGAGATTTGGATTATGTCAGCTAGGTAAATGTAAAGAAATAATAGCAACAGCAAGAAATGTGCCAAAACAAAGGCTAAAAAAACGGTGACAAGAAGATGAAGAGAAAGAAGGCAGTTTCCTCAGCTTAAAGAGTAAGAGTCCATCCTGCACCATGGATGTCCCCACATTTCTAACTGCCTTAGGAATCATTCACATGAATATCCCCTTGTTATTTCAAAGGTATCACTTCCAGACTGATAAAAAAAAAAAAAAGCAACAACAAACCCTTCTCCATGATACAGAATCCTTTACTGAAATCTGTATTCTGATTGGTGACATCACCAATCAATCATTAATTTAATTCACTGGTGCCTTAATAACAAAATGATGTACACTTCAATTATTCTCCTTTCAAAAGAGTACATCTCTCAATCAAAGACTTGAGCAAGAATGCACAGAAATCTACTTTATTGGGAAATAAATCAATGTTATATAACATAATCAAAATGTAACCTAAAAATATAGCCATTCTAAGTGAGAGACTTACTAATGTAAATAAATTGTGTCTAAGTGTTTAACAGAATCTTTACAAGTAATTGCTTCGATACTTTCCACGTGAGTTGTATAGTTCAGATCATGCCAATGTCTTTGTCAAACATTTCGTGTCTCCTCACCTAAAATTATACATGTACTTTCAAAGGCAGATGGCAGGTCTTCCTTATTTAACCCCTTTCACTAGTGACTAGTGAAATGAAGAATTTTTTTCAGCTTGGGTGGCAGGAAAGGCTTTCTCTGTCTGTTTTCTGGACTATTTAAAGTCTTAATTCATTTCCTAATGTTGTGTCATTTCATCATTTATTGGTCTTTCCTGGTTCCTTTTCTGGATCTCTTTATTGTCCTTCAGCTACTTCTCTCATATAATCATTTACTCCTTTAAATTGCTGCTATTTGCCTCCTGAAATTTCAGTTCTTTGCAGACAGGAACCAAATCATAGCTTAAAATATCTATGACTCCTTGTGACTGCTTTATACATAGTATTTGTTCAACAAATATTTGTATGAATCAACTTGTTAACACCATCCATGGCAAGCTGTCATTTTTCCCAAGCACTCTTTCCTGTAATTCAGTCATAGTATTTACTCTAGACTAGGATCTGGAAACTAAGAATAAATTCTATGAGACTAGAAAAAGATCTACAAAATCCACTTTACTGAGGGACTATGAAAGTACAGTATTAAAAATAGAAGTCACAGTTTTTGGTTGCTGTACTCACACCTACAAGATTCAAAAATGAGCTTTTATAAGGAAAATATTTAAGTGGTAATTAGAACCAGCTGTTACTATTGGGAGAAACATATAATTAACTTGACTAAGAGACCAGAACCTTCACCAGATTAATGCCCTCCCTTTAATGCAAAGTCGAGTACATATCCACAAACCTACGGTGTCCATTCAGCTGTCATCTGCATATTGAACTATCATTTCTTGTAAGCCTGCTGCATCCAAAAAGAACAATGGGAGATATGTTGATTAGCCTTTGACTGAAAATTACGTAAAAATCACTATTAGTAAGGATTAGAAGAAAAGTTAAATTAGTAACTCATAGTTTGGGAAGATGTTACGTTCTGTCTTTGTTCTCTAGTATGTTGACTCAAGTGTGTTTTAGCCTGGCTACATGCCAAATCCCTTGGAAAGAGTGTCCCTAGATGTAGCAAATAGACAAATGAAAATTACAAAACAAAAACAGAACACCAAACTAAATTGGAATTTCAGATAAATAATGAATACTATTTTTAGTCTAAGTATATCTCAAATGTTGCATACAGAAAAAACCAAATACACTTAACACTAAAATTTTACTTCTCTGTATCAAATTTAACTGGACATCTTCTATTTTGCCTGGCAACTCTGCAAATCTTAAATCAACCTTAGATGATTTGGAAGGGTGAGTTCTTTGTGGGGCATTAAGGTGATTATTTTGTTGATGCTATTTTCCAGTATACTCTCTGTACTCATCTTTAAAGGGAAAACTGAAATACACTGGTAAATACTCAGTTAACTTTTCTTTTTTAGGAATGAAAGGTAATTAACTGGGCAAATGTGAATGTATGTAATTTAATCTTCCCATGATGCCACAGAAGAACCTCTGGGTGCTGCGGTGCCTTAGATCATTTAGAACTTTGATTATCATAGAACACAGTGATATATGCAGAAGCATGGTTAATAAATGTCTTGTTAACAAACAAGAGTTAACAGAACACCTAATGTGTTCTAAAATCAAACAGTAACCCTCAAAGGTTATTTACACTAATTTCTATCATTGCCAAAATGATAAACACTACTTTGTCAAAATAATGAAAATGCTTCTTAATCAATCACCTATAAAGCAGAATGGCTGTTCCCATCTTGTTTTCTTTATATCTTGATGTGGTGACACATCGTTGTATGCACAAGATTGGCCAGGGTTACTATCTTTCTAAAAAATAATTTCTGAATACAAAAATTAGGTTAAAACTTGGGGACTCATAAAAGACTTTGGAAGTCAAATGATATATTAACATGATCAACTTTAATTCAGTGGGTTTTTTTTTCTTTTTTTAATCTTGCCTATTCAAAAAGAAAAAGTGAGAATTTGAAATCCAGTCACTTGTTTATCAGTAGGTATGGACAAAGTTTCAAGTCACTCATTTATTTGTTCATTCATTAAAAAAATAAGTCGTGTATATGGCGTCGCAAGCATACAGGATACAGTAAAAAATAAAACAGGGCCCTCCCTGCTGGCGCAGCGGGTTAAAGCATAGCACTAAGAAGCTAAAGCCACTTCAGCATGAGTTCGATCCCCGTGTGCCCCGGAGGTGACCACATGGTGTGGCAGACCTCTCCTGACCCGCCCGCTCCTGACTCCCTTCAGCAGTGTACTTCCTCAATCTGCCTGTACTGCTCCCCGCTCTGTCTCTGGTGAATCCTCTCACCCTCCACATCTCTGGTTTGTACCCCAGTTCTGTATGAATAAATAAATAAATCTTTTAAAAAAAATAAAGCAAACATGGCCCCATGTTCATGGGTCTTCATAGTCTGGCAGGAACCTGTCAGCTTCTTTCTAGAAACTCTGCTTCCTGGGCATTATCCTAGGTTCATTTTGTGAATTCATAGTACTGTTTTACTTACTAGATAACATTTAGAGACTTAATCTACAACAGGTGTGTGGCAAATATTCCTTCATTTAATCTTCATTATAATGGAATTAAGGTTAATTGACTGACTAGGAAATGGAGAGGTGAGGGACACATCCATTGAGTGAACAATCGAGTCAAGGCCTAATATGTCTTTCTATCTTCAGTTCATGTAACCAACATTATAACAGGCTGGCCTCTCCAAAGACCTGCCTACATAAACTACTTGGAGATTATAGCTATCTCACAAGAGAGAGAAAGCTTCTAAAATGTACTAGGAGTCATGACTAAGAGACTAACAGTAAGAGCCTAAAACCAGTATCTTAACTGGAAGAAAAAACTGCTACTTGAAATAACTGTAAATTAGAACATATGTGAAATATTAAGATATTTTATTTTATACATCTATGTTTTAAATAACTAGGTCATAAAATCTTTTTTTAAATATCATAAACTTTTTTAATATCATAAATTGTCTTCCTTTACAAGTGAAGTCTCATATTCTTAGAAGTTATCTCAGGGTAATGCTTGTGAAAATGAAAAAGAGCAGTTCATAAATAGGTGTTATTTAACTAAAAGGAAAACATGGAAATTCAGATTTCAGACTAGCAAGTTTTGAGTTTTCATGAAGTTTACCTCATTTATTTGGTACACTGACATGAGATTCAGTGGGTGGAATGCGTCAGAAATTCCCACCCTGACCTTAAGTAGCCTTGTTTCTACAAATTTATGGGTAGTTTCTAAATTTCTAATCCTCTGAAAGTGACTTAGAACTTTCTCTCCTTTAACTGCTGATCAAAGGTAAAACCAAGGTTGTAGCTAATTTTTCAAAGTCTATTCTTCCTCCAAACCCCTCTCCACCCAATTCCTGCCTCTAAGACCTTGAACTTTCTAAGTCATAGATCCTAAAACAATAAACAAGTCTGCCTCTGAGATAGAAATAAATAAAATTTAGGTAAGAAAACAGATGTCAGTTTTTACTTTCCCAAATAAATGTCCCTACTCTAAACAAACACAGTTTTGCTTTATTTTATTTTTTTCCTCCTTAGTTAGGTCTCTTCTAAATTGCTTGTAATTTCATGGAAGCTTGTCCAGAAGATTTTTTTTTTTTTTTACTTTCAAAAGTCAATCTTTTCCTTCTCCAGATGTAACTGTACTAAAGAGGATAAAAATAAAGACAATAGTGCTGACATTCATGGAATGAGGAATCAAATGCCTTAAGTATGTATACTTACACTAATGTTATTAATATTATATTAAAAGATAGGTCCCTCCCTAGTGGTGCAGCGGGTTAAAGCACAGCACTGCAAGCCAGCCACAGCTGCTTCAGTGCAAGTTCAATCCCCACCCTGGAGGTGACCCACATGGCGCAGCAGACCTCTCCTGCCCCACCTGCTGCTCCCTTGAGCAATGTACTACGTCAATATCACTATTCTGCTCTCCACTCTGTCTCTGGTGAATCCTCTCACTGCCCCTGTACCTCTGTCCTGCACCTCAGTTCTGTATGAATAAATAAATCTTTTTAAAAAAAGATAAATCACAGATTTCTAAGTTGATCACTTTTAATTACTTTTTGATGAACCAGTTATTGACTTTCATTTTGAAGTTTGGAGCTTACTTAGAAATTTACACAATCTTTCTTTTTGTAAAAAGTGATGATTTGCAATGTTCCTTAAATGAGAAAGAACTCTAAAATGACTGGTATTTAATTCAGAATAAAGAGTGGTCACATCGGAAGCCCAATAGACAAATCATAGCAATACTGATTGCATTAAAATACTGAGGATAATAGTCAAGATTATTGTGCTACTTGGAGTTTTTCCCTGACCTGACCTACATTTTTAGCCACTTGATGTTTTTAGTATCTGATTTTATTAATCTCTGAAATGGTTATAATCCATTAGCTTATATCAAACTTAACATACTTTTAATATTTTATTAATGTTAGAAGAAATAAGCTAAACAGCTAGAAACACTGAAAAATTGGTTTCTCAGATGAGAATACTTATTCAACAAGTGATGGTTACATATTGAAATAAAACATAAGATGATGTTGTAAGGGTAATTAGTGAGTAAAAGGAAACATTTTCACAAATTAAAACTCTTCCTTAATGGTTGCTGGTGAGGTCTGCTGCAGACTTTAAAATTAAAAAGAAAAAGGAGATGAACATTTCATATAGCAGTCATTTGGTATAAATCTTCTCCGTACTAGTCAGTGTGCCATGCACCCAGGTGTGTAAAAGGCTTGGTGCAAGGCTTCAGGAAGCTTACAGACTAGTGGAAAGGCAGCATTTAGCCAGTTATCTCCCATGTGCCAGACTGAACTTTAGCTGGGTTACCCACCTACTCTCCCACCATCACAACAACCTTCATGGCAGACACTAATATGACCATTTTCAGATAAGACAACAAAGACACTGAAAAATAATATACTACCTAAAGAAATAAGCCAGTGGCTAGTACTGTAGAATTTAACTCATTTGTCTAAATCCAAAGCATATGCTCTCATCTACCAAATGAAAACAACATTTTATCAAAAATTACCCTCCCTGTAATTAAAAGGTTACATAAAGGAACTCTTCTGCACTGCAGGTGGTAATTCAAACTAGTACAACCACTATAGAAAACTGTTCGGAGGTTTTTCAAACCACTAAAAATGGAGCTTCCATATGACCCAGCAATCCCATTCCTAGGTATCTACCCAAAAGACTTATTCAAAAAGACACCTGTGCTCCCATGTTTATTGCTGCTTTATTTACAATAGGAAAGACATGGGTTCAACCCAAATGCCCAAAAGTAGATGACTGGATTAAAAAGATGTGATACATATACACAATGGAATATTACTCAGCAATCAAAAAAATAAACTCATGCCCTTTGCAGCAACTTGGACAAAGCTGCAAAAGACCATGCTTAGTGAAATAAGCCAGACAGAAAAAGAAAAATATTGGATGGTTTCACTCATAGCAGGAGCCTAAAGGACCAGGGGAAAAAAATAATAATAATGAACAACTATAAACCAGAGACATTTTATGGGGGTGGAGTGGAGGATGGGATCAAAACTGGAGGGGGGGATAGTGCACTGGACTATGGTGCTGACACATGGGTGATTTGGTGATTGGAAGCCCACGGAAATTACAACTGAGATGGAAAAAGGCACAAAATGATGGAAAAATAAACTATTATATTATTTTAAAAAAATGGTTACATAAATCAAAATTAGGCTACCTTTATGGTAGTGCTTACCTGTTATCTTGCAGCCATAGACTTCAAACCTCATAGATATACCAGTTTCCCAAGTCACAGGTTTGATTCGGACAAAACGAGTTATCATTGGTTTGTTGAAAACGCCAAATACAATATCAGTGGGGTTGGTGTTTCCTTGAAAGATCTATATAAAAAAAGAAAGGGCTCTTTAATAATAGACTTTTACTTAAAAACAAATTCAAATGTATATTTTTACAGATCTTTACAAAATTTTTTACAATTTCAGCATTGCCTATCGAAAGTGAGGTAGCATTAACAACTTATGTTCTTTTTTCAAGTGATGGGAATCATAAAGGATCAGGTCTAATATTGAATGTTGTCCTAACTATCAATTCAATTTTCTAAGAGTTCAAGCACCCAAAGGCACAGTTATAAGGAAGACATTTGTTAAAGAATACTTGCCGCTATCTAAAAATGTAGGAAATTATTAACTTGTAGAATATTGTGATATTCCATGGGAACTCTCACGATTTTACTTTCCCAGGAATCCCTCCAGGAGGAGTGCTTTTTCAGTTCAGTGTAGAGTCTGGCTTTTTGAAAATCCTAGGTCATGTTCCCAGTGAAGACAGTAGGTTAAGTAGCTTTCTCCCACTTCTCCATGGAAGATCTAACTCCTGACATTAATTAAAGACTTTAATGCTTTTCAGTTATTGGTAAAACTGTTTTAGTGGTCAAAATCAAACCTGAGTTATGAATGCTGTCACTAAAAATCAGTTTTTCCGGAGCCTTTGTCTCTAGTTTCAATAGTGAGTCATTTTATTTTAAGGAGGATGATGCGTGGAACTGCAGGGTGTAAGGAATGGCAGTTACGAGCTGGTTTCCCACAAAGGTCTGTCAGAGTCGCTCGCTCGCTGGCTCTACCTTGGTGTGGTGCCACAGCAGTGTTCTAGCAAGGTCTCTGGGGGATGGAAACCGCCATCACAGGACACACACTAGACCATCCTCAAATGGAACTGAAAACCTCCACTTTCCTGTGTTTTACTTCAGTCTGGATTTGGGCACAGACTGTGTAAATTTAACATGCCTCAGTGTGAAGCCCTGGGTTACCTGTTATCTTGCCTGGCCATATTCCTATTAGGTTGTGTAACTAGAACCTTACTGAGCCCCTTGGTGGGTTTTGAGATTTCTCGCTATTTTCCCAGACAGATTCATGGAAAAGGATCACAGTTTCCCAAGGTTTGTACATTCTCTGAGAGAAAGGGCAAGGAAAAGTCAGGCTGGTATTTTTATTTTATTTAGTTTAAGTGGCCTGCACAATTGATGGTAGTCAAATGCTTTACAAAGTCAGCTGTTAGACTGATCCCTCTCTGGAGACAATTTAATATCATAATTTATTCTAGCCTGTGATGGCCTTTAGAGCTCTGTCCTACTTCAGCAAATCTCTCTGGGAAACAATCTGTGTGGGATCATTTTTGTGTGACAAAGAATAATGGGTAGTTGCCAGAGGAGTCGCGTCCCAAACCATGGTGCTTAAAGGAGGGTCAACAAGTCCATTTCAGGAGAGAACAGCATCTGTCAGGAGTGTCGCAGCTCCAACACAGGCTGGGGAGTGCACATTTGTTCACACGGAGGGAATTTTATGTTTGCTGAAAACCAGGTCAAGGAACACATCCCATTCAACATAAAGAGACTGCTGAGTTCTTACTTGTCAAAGGCAGTTTTTGCTGAGGTGTGACCAACTCTCTGTGAGGAAAGTCAGTTTTTGGTAGGGGGCAGTGGCTGAAAGGCCCCAATGCAGACAAGGTAGTGTGGGAAGCAAAACTAGGCTTCAGATGGATATTTGGATTTCACTTAAGTTCAGTGTAAAGGATAGGCCTTCCCAAAATGTTCAGAGAGGGCTTCTAAAAGGTCTTAATTTAGCATATAGATTATTTCAGGCTGAGGTCAACTGAGGCCCAGCAGGCCTATGAAAAATTTTACCACTCCCTATGTAGGAGGAGAAAACTTAGGGGTATTATCCAGAAGTATGACTTTCATCAGAAATAGCCTTTCTATCAAATAAACGTATTTATGCGGCAGGGCAAACATCTAATTACAAAACATCTGTTTCTTGTCAACACACAGCACTCTTTCCTCATCATGTTAATCTTCCTCATTTCTCTTTGAGGACCCAGGCCAAATCCTATTCCTTAGATCAAAATGTATATCCTCATTTTACTCTATTCGTTTTAGAATCCACATCCATGTAGATTCTCCATACATATGTAATTAAATTTGTTTTTCTCCTACTAATTTATCTGATGTTAATTTGATTGCTGAGGTAGCCCAAGAAGGACCCAGAATGGTAGGGAGAGATTCCTGTCTGTCTTTACCAATGAAAGTGTCTAGACAAATGCCATATTTTGCTGATCCCATATCCATACTGCTGCCTATGCTGGAGGCACCTCTGTGTTCCAGATAATGGACCTACCATGAGCCATGTACACTGTCAGACAATGTTCTTAACATTCCCTGTTCTGGCCCAGGCAAACAAACGATGGACAATAAAGTAGACATGTTGCATGTTGCACAGTAGTGCTTATTTTATTTTTTTTTAAGAAATGGACTGAGGGTGCTAGGGACAGCTCTCCTTGCTCTTAGTAGGAGAAAAAAAAAACAAAATTAATTACATATGCATAGAGCATTCACATGGATATGGATTTTTTTTTTTTAAGATTTATTTATTTACACTTATAGAACTAGGGTATAGGCCAGAGGTGGGGTGGGTGAGAGGATTCACCGGAGACAGAACGGGGAGCAGAATAGGCAGATTGACAAAGTACACTGCTGAGGGGAGCAGCAGGTGGGTCAGGAGAGGTCTGCCGCGCCATGTGGGTCAGCTCACTGGTGGGGGATAGAACTTTCGGTAGTAGCTCCAGAGAGCCTCATAATGAGGTGCTTTAACCTGCTGCACCAATAGGGAGAGCCCTGGATATGGATTCTAAAGCCAACACAATAAAATGAGGATATATGTTTTGATTAAGGAATAGGATTTTGACTTGGTGCTTCAAGGAGCAATGAGGAAGCTTCACATGATGAGGAAATAGTGCTGTGTACTGACAAAAAAACAGATGTTTTGTAATTAATGTGTGTCATTAATATTAGTGTTTTGTTTTCCTGAAAGTAAAGCATATCTTCAGAAAAACCACTCCAAAATAAGAATAAATCTTGAAACTTTGATCAATATGCACTTCACATTCAGAAATGATGACTGTGTGGAATTTGTTCCGCAGGTGTACTGTTGGTTTCGTGTCCTTCAGGGCTAAGATAATGGCCTTGACTTTGCCTGTCCATAGAACGTTTTTCCCACAGAACAGCTGTCTATCTATATACACTTCCATCTTGCCAGTTCTAAGTATGAGTAGGGGTTTACAGCTAATCAAAAGGATTAAATAGTTCCTTTGCCTCATACCCAGGAGGCTTTCTCAGTTTCAGATCAGAAAGAGAAAGCGAAGACCATGAATTCTCCAAAGAGAGGCAAGGACATACTAATGGACTGCGCAAATCTACAGTTTCAAGTTACCTGGCTCTTTCCTACTATTGTTATTAATTCTAATTTTTGGCCTCCAGGGCGAGCTTTTAATTTTAGGAAGACAGCATGTTTTCAGAAATCTTTTGATTAGTAAAGCAGAGCAAGCAGAACTTCAAATAAATGGGCAAGCTGAGAAAAACATCTCAGTTTCAGATGATTTAGGGTAATGTGCTGGAGGCAGAGCAATGGCTGCTGTGGCCTCCTTGGTTGAAAGCGGTGGGGAGGTGGGACAGCATCCGTGTGATCTGCCTTTACTACTATTCATTCTCACTGAAGCCAAGCACACTTGTAAATTAGTTCATGAACCACAGAGTATAAGTGAAAAGGGGTTTTCTAAAAGCAGGCAATTACTGAGAAGAATGAATCTATGACAGAGAATGAAGAAACAGGGAAAACTCACAACAAAACAACTCTTTAGGTTCGAAAGGGCAAGAGTTTATCCTGTGGAAAGCCAGTGTCCCCCAGGTTCAAAGTGACCTTTGAGTCTGACACTTCATTTAGCTGGTGTTGACTTTTCTTGAACATCATTTTGACTTCTGGGTCTGGGAGCATGAGATAACTTGGTCAGATTAAAATCTCTAATTGTACTTTTCATTTTAAATCAAACCAAAAATAAACCTGGCTAGACAGAAAGCTCTCAAGCAAACAAAGTAAAATTGATCATCCATTTCAAAGGCTGAAATGGTTAAGGGGATGGTAGTCAAACTTACAACAGGCTTATTTCCTTCTTTTATGGTGATCCAGTCTTCCCCATTGGAGCTAATTTCTATTCGGTAAGTCTTGACATAGTATTTCTTCTTGGTTTCCTTTGAAATGGCTCCCTGTGTCCCAACAGCAGTGACAAAGCGCAGAAGGCCCAAGTCTACCTGGAAGACAATATAAGCCATGGTCAGCCACCCAGTCTTGGAGCTCCACAGTGTAGTTTTCATATGCCTAAGATCAGTGAGTCCTAAAATTCCATTTGGTGTTGATAACCCTTACTGTTTTATTGCATTCATTTTAAAGAAAGGCAGTGACATGATAAGCTGTCAATAGCCTTAGTTGACAACAGCCAGGAAGGGACCTTGAGGAGTTCTGCAACCAAGATTGTTTGATTCCCGGTACCAAAGAGAAAACTGGATTCAGTATCACACACCTGTGTCTTCTGAGATTCAAAAGCTTCCAAACAGCACATTAATTAATATATGCTATTTTACACATAGAGAATAAAGATAAACAAGACATATTGGATACATGAAGAGACCGGGAAGAGAACTCAGGTCTCACATGCAATGATTGCCTATGATTCTTTAGCATCCTACCTCTTTTTAAATGGAATGCATTCGGAAGCAATACTGACTTTGAAAGCACTGTGATTATTGTGACTTGTGAAATGGGCCATAGATTTATAATAAGCAATGGAATGGAAAGAGAAGGGTAAAGTATGGATTTCGGTCTCATCTTTAAATTCCCTCCTGCTCCATGCCTTAATGTGGCTTCATTGTAGCTTAGCTTGTAGGAAGCTGGGCACTGTCTTCACTGGGACACAGCAAGTGCCTCCGCAAGACCACGGTTGGGACTTGCAAGCTTCTAATAAGTTTCCAGGCAACAAACTCTTCAACACTCACCTTACCTCCATCTGTCAGTTGCTATCTCATATCTCTGAAATTGGGCATCATAGTAGTGATGACCAAAGCCTAAAGGACTCATGAGTTGTAGTGCTTGAATTATTCTATGGCCCTGTGACATGGGTGGAGATGACAAAGGTCTAAGCATCAGGCTCTCAAGGTCTGGCTTTGTCACTAGCAAGCTGGACAAGTCACTTCATTTAAAGGTTCCTATTATTCATGTGTAAAATGAAGCACTTGCAGTAAATAACTGATAATAAGCCCTTTTCAGTTCTGACTTTTTAATGATACCATGTTTTCAGGGACACTGTTTTTTTTTCTTTAAGTATATTTATTTTCATCATTAGTAATTAAGAGCACCTTTAAAAACAAAAACATTACTGGTTTCTATATATTAGAAATATATATTTCTTCATATTGGAAAATGTATCTTTTTATTACACCCTATCGCAGCTCTATGTAATATAGAAACTTTAAAAAACTGAAACACAATATAGTTTCCAAAGCAATGGCATATTACAACAGGTTATTTTTAAGAAGCAAGAGAATTATCACTTCCTGAAAACAGCAAAAAAACCAAAAATCAAAAGTTTAAAAAAAAAACAAAACCCACTTCCCACCTCCACCACAACTTCTAAACCCTTCCAGTTACTACATGACAACTCAATTTTCAGAAAACAATATTTCAATTAACCCTCCAGTGCCTATAGGCCACAAACACCTAAAGAATTTCCATTTTATGCACAGCCTACCTCCTGAAGAATGACTATTGTCTCTCATCAACTGCTTTTTTCCCCAAGGCCCTTGAGGTAGTTAAATCAACACGTTGCCAATTCACTTCACAACTGAAATAAGAGTTACATGCAGGAAAAACAGCAACATCTCTGACCATGGAAGTCAATTTTAAGTTCCACAATTCAACAATAGGAGATTTCATCTAGAAAGGAAGGGGTTCCCATTCATTGTAAAACAATCTTTATTTCATTAACCTGATGCTAAAGATGTAAAGTGTATATTCTGCATGCAACCACCAGATGTGAGAGGAAAAGGAGTAAGGTTTTAATAGAAATTTGAGGATAATAGTGGTGGATGTTTTAAATTTAACAAGTATTTATCCAATACAATTTTATGAAATGATAATAATTGTTTAGTGAAATTTTCCATTCTTTAAAAAAACGAGTCACAGTAATTTATATGATTTTGTGTACAAATTTTTAAAAAGGGAAGCCATCCATTTTTGCCAGATTTAACATTAAAAATACTGTTCAGTTCAAGCTGAATTTTAGAAAAACAACAAATATTTTTGGTATAAGTGTGTCCCCTGCAATATTTGGGACACAAACAACTGGTTCATTGATTTCTTGACTCAAATAGAACTGGGTGTTGTATGTGTTACATATCTGACTATTCCAGATAAATACTTGGGTGATCTCAAGCTTGTGAAAAAAAACTCTGATTTCCCAAACTGAAGTTAATGAGTACTCTGGATTTGGTTGCACTGAGCAGTGTCAACCTTCTCGTATGCTCTCGAACACTTTAGTGCTTTACGGACTGTCCTTTGACTGGGGCCCAACACCACATACACTTTGAAGCTCAAGGGCTCTTAAAATCTTGACATCCTGAAGTCCAAGGGAGCATGAAGCAGCACTATTTAAATAAACTTCTCCTGTCAAACTTACAAATGGCTCTTCAGATTGGAAATGATTACATTCCCAAGAGTCCATACTCAACTTATGTTGATTTGAAATAATGCTAACATTTCATTTCTTGACTATTTTCCTAATTTGAAAATTTTGAGTTAGGAGTAAGGTTTAGTTAGAAAAAGAGTAAATAAATAAATAAAAGATTAACTGGTGGTTGATGAAATAAGAAGAATCCTAAGAGCTGAAATAGCTGACTTTCACAGAAGGAGCAACTGGAATTAACTAGGTATACCCAACATAGGTCCCAGCTAGAAGAGCCCTCCTATGGAACATGCATGAATCATTAGTAAAAAAAGAAAATATATTATCTCAACAGCAATGAAATGCATTAGTAACCTCCCCTGTGATAACATAAAATTTCTTGCTGTGCTTTAAAACTCTGCAGATACTTTTGTACCACACTGGAATACTTGACATTTTATTTCATTTTCTTCCTAACATTAACACTGGGTTTTAGTAAGTATGAATGACGGCCTCCCAAAATGATTTGGGCTGGGACCTGAACCATCACAATTAAAATGGAGTTCTGGGCCCTCCCTGGTGGCACAACGGGTTAAAGCACAGCAGCTTGAAGCTATCTGAAGCCACTGCAGCATGAGTTCAATCCCTGGCCAGGGAGGTGATTCACATGGAGTGGCAGACCTCTCCTGACCCACCCACCAGCCACCCGCTCCTCCCCTCAGCAGTGTATTTCAGTGGGTCTGCCTGTTCTCTTCCCCACTCAGTCTCTGGTGAATGCTCTCACCCCCACATCTCTGGCCTGTACCCCAGTTCTTGTATGCATAAGTAAATAAATCTTAATAAAAAAAAAAAAAAGGAGTTCTGGGTCAGAACTCCAAGACACAATCTCCTCTGACTGTGGGAACTTTCTTTAGCAACCCTAAGGAAGTGGTTTTTGGTCCTGTCTCCCTAGTGACTTTCAGGAATGTCCTAACAGTGATCTTGGACCCTCAAGAGTCTTGAGTTTTCGAGGTGTACAGTGCTCACGCTGTCGGTTTCTGTATAAGAAGACACCAGAGGCCACAATACCAGGAGGTTTGTCACTTGCATAGTGAAATTGTCTCTGCTAATTAACACACTGGTCTTCAACTACCTTTTGAGTCTGACCACTGTATCCACACACTATCTCTTAAAAAATATTTGTTATGACTGGACCTTCCTGGTGGCGCAGTGGGTTAGGACACAGCACTGAAAGCTGGCTACAACTGTCTCAGTGCTCGTTGGATTCCCTGCCTGGGAGGTGACCCACATGGCGTGGCAGACCTCTCCTGAGCCACTCACTGCTCCCGTCAGCAGTGTACTTTGTCTGCTGCCTGTTCTGCTCCCCACTCTGTCTCTGGTGAAGCCTCTCACAGCCCCTGCACCTCTGGCCTGTACCCCAGTTCTGTGTGTATGTATAAACAAACAAACAAACAAATAGCTATTACTAATGCAAGAGAAATAATTTCTTTTCTTAAAATTGTATTATCATTGTTAGTTTTTTGATAGGGTAGGATTTCTTCCCGCAGCTGTGTTCACGTTGCTCTCTCAACACCAAAGCTTCCACAGTCTTCACCATGGCTCACTGTGGTCCTTTCCCTTCCACTTTTTCCTTCCCCTCCCCCTCCCTTTGGGGCTCTTAAATCTCTGGTCAGCTTTCCAGGGTTGGTTTTGATGTTTATCTTTGTCTGATCCTTTGTTTGGTTTCTCTATATCCCATATACTAATGACAAGGTAAATAATTTCCATCTGAATACCCTGGTATGTAAAGTTCTCTTGACTTTCTCCCCCTCCCCACACTTTTTTTTTTTTTTAACTATAAAAGACTTTTCACATTTTGGGGTCTGGCAGGCAGAGTAAGTCACTTGTTCCCTAGGATGTTCAAGTGCATGTCTCCATCTCTGAATTCATCATGTGTTTTTGTTCTACCTCGGTTCAGACTTCAGTGAATGCTTTCAGAGAGTATCTACTTTTCTTTATAGAAAACTAATAAATATCTCCTGAAAATTCATAAGATGCAGAAAATATTAAAGAAGAAAATAAAAATCTTCATAAGACACCAATTGGGAATATACTATTTGGAATATAGTAACAGCTTTCCAGAGTTTTATTTTCTTAGGCAAAGTCCATGTGAAAATTGTTTGGGTGCTATTATTTTTCAAATGTAGCCATACTACTTCAGTGTTTGAATACCTGCTTTCATTTTATGGATATATTTCCATGCCAAAACTATTTTCCCACTATTTTCAGTGCTTTATGGTATCCATGACAGCATGATTTACTTAACCAGTCTGCACCTTTGAAAACTTTTATTCCATTTGATTGACATTCATTAAGTGGACACAGTAATGGTCATCTGTTAAGAGTTGCATTAAGTAGTAAGGACAAAAAGATCAGTAAGAATTTAGGAAACATAAACACATGATTATAGAGGTGAGCAAAGCATACAAGGCATGATGCAGCCCAGGGGAAGGAGAAACACTTTTTCCAGAAAATTAGGAGGCAGTGGGATTGGAGAAACTCCATAAATGATTTTGATGTCTCAGATATGGATTGAAGGGTACACAGTAGGCATGG